AAATCTTTGAAACACGTACAAGGAAATCAAATTTGTGTTGTCTTGCCTTCCGCCTGATTAGTTTCGATGCCCGTCCGGGAGCGATTGATTGCTCCAGGAGGGCCCAATGTAGCCCCAAGAGAAGCCAGAGAGAGGCCCGAGACGGCTCCAATAGTACTGAAGGGCGCCCCCAATGGCGCTCCAATAGGGGCCGATTGGCGAATTTAGGAGCTCCCGAGGGAGAGGGGGGGAAGCTCAAGGCCCCAGTCTTTCTTGGGTCGATCTCCTCCAATGTGATCCCGAGGGGCGCCCCCAAGGCCCCCGAGAGCGAGGGAAGAGGGCCCCGACAGTCAGAAGAGAAGTAGGAGAGGGAGGAGAAGAATGTCGTCAACGACAGATGTCGAGTTGACAGAGCAGCGAGAGAGCACTTGCTTCGGAACCTCCTCCCGGCCCCTCCTACCTGAATCCTTCAGACCCCCCCGTCTCTTCCTCCTGTTCCTTCCCCCCCCCATTGAATCTGGAGGATCCCCCCGAAATCCCACCTCCTCCTTGCCGCTCTCTCTGAATCCTAAACCTCCTGCTCATCCCCATCATCCCTCCATCTGAAGGTCCCCGACAGACCCCTCTTGAAGCAACCCGGCCGAGTGCGATCTGGGCCGGGCCCGGTCTGGCCGAGTCCGGCCTGGCCGAGTTAGGCCGCGGCCGAGTTCGGCCGGCCGAGTCCGGCCCGGCCGAGTCCGGACCCGACCGAGTCCGGCCTGGCCGAGTCCGGACCGCGCGCCACGCTGCAGCGAGAGCGCCGGCCGAGTTCGGCCGGGCCGAGTTCGGACTGGCCGAGTCCGGCCGGCCGAGTCCGGCCCGGCCGAGTCCGGACCCGGCCGAGTCCGGCCTCGGCCGAGTCCAGCCTGGCCGAGTTCAGCCTGGCCGAGTCCAGCCTGGCCGAGTTCAGTCTGGCCGAGTCCGGCCGGCCGAGTCCGGCCTGGCCGAGTCGCGCCTCCTCCTTAAAGTGATGACAATTTCGAGGATGGGGGCCTTCCCGTTGGCTCAAGTTCACAAAGTGACGACAGTGTCGGACTTGAGGCCCAGAACCGTCTCGGACATCCCGCGGCGCGAATCCTGGTCCTGCACAGTGAGGTGCGAGTTGCCTTGTCCCTCTTGTCCCGCCGGACCCCGGGAGGGTGCTTTTCTCAACCATATTGTGGTGTCGGGTCCTCGTTTTGAAGAGACAGCGCCCCGCGTTCCTCCCTCCTCTTCCTCCTCCTCCTCCTCCTCCTCCTCCTCCTCCTCCTCCTTCTCCTCCTCCTCCTCCTCCTCCTCCTCCTCCTCCTCCTCCTCCTCCTCCTCCTCCTCCTCCTCCTCCTCCTCCTGTGCACACCCCTCACACGCTTCGTGGCCCCACAGGGTGCTCCACCGAAGGCCCCAGTGGCAAAGTTCGCATGCGTCTCCCCCACCCAGTACAGCGTTCCGTGGCCCATAGGGAGCCCCACCGAAGGCCCCAGTGGCAAAGTTCGCATGCGTTTCCCCAGCCCAGTGCAGCGCTTCGTGGCCCATCGGGAGCTCCACCGAAGGTCCCAGTGGCAAAGTTCGCATGCGTCTCCAACACCCAGTACAGCGTTACGTGGTCTAGGAGGAGGTCCACCGAAGGCCCCAGTGGCAAAGCTCGCATGCGTCTCCCCCACCCAATACAACGTGTCGCGGCCCGTAAGGAGCTCCACCGTAGGTCGCAGTGGAAAAGTTCGCATCCGTCTCCCCCACCCAGTACAGCGTTCCGTGGCCCACAGGGGGCTCCACCGAAGGCCACAAGGGCAAAGTTCGCATGCGGTTCCCCCACCCAGTACAGCGCTCCGTGGCCCATAGGGAGCTCCACCGAAAGCCCCAGTTTTCAAAGTTCGCATGCGTCTTCCCCACCCAGTACAACGTTTCGTGGCCCAGGAGGAGGTCCACCGAAGGCCCCTGTGGCAAAGCTCGCAAGCGTATCCCCCACCCAATGCATTGATGTGCGGCTCATACGGAGCTCCACTGAAGGCAGCATTGGCAAAGGTCCCATGCGTCTCCCTCACCCAATACGGCGTTCCGTGGCCCATAGGGAGCTCCACCGAAGGCACCAGTGGCAAAGTTCGCATGCGTCTCCCCCACCCTGTACAGCGTTCCGTGGCACATAGGGAACTTTACCGAAGGCCCTTGTGGTGAACTTCGCATGCGTCTCCCTCAGAAACAGTACAGCGTTCCGTGGCCCATGGGAGCTCCACCGAAGGCCCCATTGGCAAAAGTCGAATGCGTCTCCCCCACAGTACAGCGTTTCGTGGCCCATCGGGAGCTCCACTGAATAGCCCCAGCAGTAAAGTTCGCAAGCGTTTCCGTTACCCAGTACAACGTGGCGTGGCCCAGAAGGAGCTCCACCAGAGGCCCCAATGGCCAAGTTCGTTCGCATGCGTCTCCCCCACAGTACAGAGTTTCGTGGCCCATCGCCAGTTTCACCGAAAACCCCCGTGGCAAAGTTCGCATGCGGTTCCCCCACCCAGTACAACGCTTCGTGGCCCATAGGGAACTCCACTGGAGGCCCCAGTGGCAAAGTTCGCATGCGTCTCCTCCACCCAGTCCAGCGTTTCGTGGCGAAGATGATATCCACAACTGCGTGACTCACAAATTCATAATATGGTGTTGCCCTTCGCCAGGCTAACGTTTCGTTTTCTCTGGTAAGGAGCACTTCCCTCCCCTCTCGGCGGTGACGGAGGACAGGCGGCGGGGGTGGGCGGGTTGGCGGGGTGGCTTGTTGGGCTGGTTGGCTGACGGGTTGGTTGGGTGGCGGGGTGGCTGGTTGGGTTGACTGGCGGGTTGGTTGGGATAGTTGGCAGGGGTGGCTGGTTGGGCTGGTTGGCTGACGGGTTGGCTGGGTGGCGGGGTGGTTGGTTGGGCTGGGTGGCGGGGGGTTGGCGGGATGACGGGGTGTTGGCCTTGTTTGCTGACAGGTTGGCGGGGTGGCTGGTTGGGCAGGCTAGTTGGATGGGTTGGGTTGGCAGGTTGAGCTGGCTAGCGCAATTGGTTCCGCTCATGAGATTCATTCGCCCGAGCAGTTATTCCGATCTGTCGCGGAGTCGGGCGCGGACTCGGATTCGGAGACAGATTCAAATTCGTCGCCGATTCGCGAAGCCCTGGTGATGAGCCGAAGTATACTCAGTGGCTCCTGTCTGCGATGAGCGAAGGTACACATACTCCCAAGGGTCCTGACGGCAATGTGGCCAGCGTCGGGACCAGGGAGACGCCGTGAGGTAGCCCAAGTGGACATTTCTGACTTTGTCCCCTGCTTGCTCATCCCCCCTCCATCGCCAACCGGGGTGATTCACTACGTTGCCAAGGTTTTGTTTGAGCTTTGTGGTGTGATCCCAGTCTCGGCGATTGCGGAAAACAGCTGAAAATGATGCAGCAGGTGGTAGAAATGTGTTGTTTCATTTCCCGTATCTCTCCTCCCCTTGTCCCCTAGAAGGGTTCTTACTCTCTGGGCTTCAAGGGGTCAGGCAGTGGAAAGCGCCCCGGGCGGTTCCCCCAGTATCCGCCCCGCGGTTCCCCCAGTTACGTCCCCTTAGCTTAGCGTTGCTTATCTCATATTAGCTTAGCTTATTTCATCTTAGCTTAGCTTAGCTTCATCTTAGCTCAGGTTTATCTTAGCTTAGCTTACCTTCATCGTAGCATGGGTGTAATTCCCTACCTAGGCTATGCCTAGAGGGTTAGCTTAGCATAGCATAGCGCAGCGCTGCATTCGCATAGCATAGCATAGCATAACATAGCCAAGCATAGCATAGCATAGCATGACATAGCATAGCGTAGCTTAGCATAGCATATCATAGCTTAGCATAGCACAGCGCAGCATGGCAGAGCATAGCTTAGCATAGCATAGCATAGCATAGCGCAGCATAGCGTAGCATAGCATAGCATAGCATAGCGCAGCATAGTATGGCATAGCATAGCATAGCATAGCAACTAATGCTGGTTTCCTAGGGGCTCCAACTTCTAGGTAGGGTCGCACTGGGGTAATGTGTTGTTTCATGTCCCGTATCTCTCCTCCCCTTGTCCCCTTTCCCGGCTCCCAGTCATCCCTTTTCTGATCCCAATCGTCATCTTATTGATTATTATTCGTCCTCTTCTCACCTCACTCGTCCGTCGTGTCTTTCCTCCTCCGCTCCTCGTCGCTGGACATTGCTCGTTCGGGCCCGAGCCATGGAGTGGTTCGGCATCACCACCGATCGCATGCCGTGCGTCTCGCGGGATTCGGTCTCCAGAATAGCGTTAGGTGGTGATGGGGATGTGTATGGACAGATGGTTGACCACGGCGAGGTTCCGAATCCTTGGTGCGACTTGGATTTACAGGATGTCCCTTTGAGCTAAAACTCGCTTGAACATTATGTGATGCATCAACCTGGACCCACGTTCAAGTGCGGAATTGCGCGGGCCAGTACGTGCCATTAGACTTCGCAGATGGTTCTTAACCGAGCTCGGTTTCGAGTCCTCCCCCTTCTCCCGATACTCCTCTCCTCCTCCACTTCCACCCCCCTCTCATCCGCCCACTCCTCCGTTCCGTCCTCAATCAGTCTCCCTCCCTTCCTTCCCCCCCCCCTTCCACCACCCACCCACCCCACACCTGGACTCCGTTTCCACGCTCCTGGACCCCAGCTCGGACTGACCTCCGATGGGGGTCCCTTGGGTCCGGGGACCTCGACCTGAACAAGGGAAGCCGAGGCTGGATGACGAGCGTCGGTCACGAGCCGCGTGCCCGACGCGGGTCGGTCGCGGGCAGGCTTCTCGTGTATCTGGCGCGCAGAGGCAGGTTGGAGGACGACGGAGATAGGAGGACGCAGCACCGTTCTCCAGTTCCTCACGACGCACCAAGGGACGGGGTACGGCCGCTTGACCCCTGGACTCTGATGGAGAAGTGTTCAAGCTGTGCTTTTCTGCAGCTATGCTGGAGCCTGAGGGGTCTGCGTGGCCGCGTCCGCTGCGGTGGCTGTCGACCCCTTCTGCCCCAGGTGGGCGTGCCTGCCAACCGCCACGGGCACTCCCCCCTGTCCACGGCGGCGGGCTCGCTCGCGTCGCTGTGGGCGGCAGAGGACAGCCGCACGCATGCTCTCCTTCGTTTCTGCAGGGGCCTCCAGGGGTGCCCAAGCGTACCCCACACCGTCGCGGACCAGGTCCTAGCCAGAACGTATAGACTGTTCGCCAATCGAGCGCACCTTTCTCGCAAGTTTGCTACTCACACGGTAAGGCTGTTCTCACGACAAGTTCCATGAATCGGCAGAGAGGCAAGGCGAGAGCATTTGTCAATGGATTGGCACCATTCCCCAAACAGTGTTTCCACTTGGGGGCTCTCACTTGTGTTGTAAGGAATTGCATCCTTGTTGAGGAGTCGGACGTGGGCAACTGGTCTAGTACGGTTTCACACTGATTGGCATATGGCACATAGGTTCCCCACGGCCTTCTGCTCCACTGTCCTTGTTCTGCGGGTTTCGGCCTAGGTGCTTGGCTCCCCATGGCTTGACCTCACGGGGCCTCCCAATGGCTTCCCACCCAACTGGCCATGTGTTTCGTGGGTCGGCCATGGGTCCTAGGTCTCGCACTGGCGCAGCATCCGATTGCTTCTTTGTGTCTCCCTGCCCCGCTGGCCCTGTCCCCAGGGTTCGCCCGTGGGCGCGTGACCTCCTACAGCTTAGTCTCCTATTGCTGCCCTGGGGCTCCCCGCACCATCAGCCCTGGACGCCCGGGTCTGGCAACGAATGATCCAATGGTTTCCTATGTTCTAGCCTCATACGTGTCCACGCAAATGGCGCCAAATTCTCTCATCAAAGAACCGATTGTTTGAGGTCCGCTCGCTGTCATCATCTACACTTGGATGTTTAGCTAGGCGGTTCACAGAGACTCCACGCATCTAAGCCATACGTTTACATGGGAACCTTCGGGTCACGCCCAGATTTCCCAGTTTGCGCACATGCGCGGTGCAAATGCACACGCACGCGCACTCGTCTGAGCCTCAGTGCTGCGCACTGCAGCGGCAGTGGCACGTAGCACGAGCAAGATGTCGCAGGACCTCACAGCCGATCGTGCGAAGGACAACCAGGCCGGCCGCGTGCGGCCGATCCGCCGCCCGCCGCCCCGTTGCTGATGTGTCAGAAGAGGGAAGCCGTTGCACTAGCTCGCGAAAGTCCAATGAGGCAGCAAAAACAGTATCCAAATTCCAGAAGAGCAAAGCACGGGATAAGACCGATTATGAAACAGAATCGCTTTGGGACTGCAGGTTCCAAGCGAACAGCTCTGCTGACTGGACCCAGCAAGATTAATTTGGATGGTTAGAGCTGCTGTAGTCGATGCCACCACCAGGCCTCAGCGAGAGCGGCCCTCTCCGAGTCTGCCTCCTGCCCCTAGCTACTCGTCATTGCTGTTTTTCCTGAACGGCTAGACCTGTAATGTTATGGTTGGCAAGGCAAGTTTGGTTGGACATCCGAAATCCCGTTCTCTCGGTTGTCCTTCCTCTGCTATCCCCGCCAGCTAATTATATCAAACATGTTGCGCCTCATCGTTGTAACATGTTCGGCCGCCTCTCTCGCCTCAACCCGTATTGCTCGTGCACTCCCGACTTACACATATTGTCCGTCTCCAGCAAATGTTTCGAGGTTCGGTTTCGTTATTACACCCGCCCTCGTTCGCTGTGTCTTCTTGTGCATTCACGTGCACATACGCATAGGTGTGCAAACGCTTGGCGTCCATTTGAAAGTGCGGATCGTGACATGATGTGTTTTCGATTGCATTGTATGTGGGTGGGTGGGGTCCGCATATGCGTTTCCAGTTGATGGAAAATTCAGCTCGCAGAAGCCATCAAGTCATCAAGTTATAGTGAGTCCATTGTCATGTCATGTCTAGCAAAGATGGCCGACATTGGTTCATGAAATGGTGCTCTGCAGAAGATGTATCGGTATCACCCATAGCCGCACGTTTGCAGATGCGCCCTAAGTAAGGTGCAGAACGGTGGCACAAGTACTTCCGTCGCGCCCCGGTTCCCACCAGCGTCCCGAATGTTTCTAAGGTTCGTTCGTGGCGATATCCCCCCCCATCAGACCACGAGCATGTTGCTCATGCCGACGCCATTCGTTGGGGCCCGGATGTGTTTAAACGGGGGGTGGTCGGCTCGTCACACCATAGCTCCTGCCACCCCTTCGTCCCAGCCGCCCCGCTTCAGGTAGCGATAGACAACGGGTGGGAAAAGCGGACATCGCCACGACAACACATTCGCATTCACATCGGCTTTCACCCCTCTCGACTCGGGCTGCGGATCTGCATCGCGATCTCTTTTGATATGACTCACGTTGCGAGCGGCACGCGCGTTGTCGTTGTTGGTCTTCTTCGTCATTGGAAGTTCGTATCATTCCGCTTGCCTGGGTCCCCCCCCCATCTGCTCGACAGGACTCCACCACGGCCGCGGGCTCGCCCCCAGCTGTTTGGGCGGAGGGCTCCACCAGCCCAGGCAGCGTGCAGCAGCTGGAGAGGATGAAGGACACCAAATCGGCGGGAGGGGGGGGGGGGCTTGAGGAAAGCACAGGGGGGCGGGGGAGGGCAACGGAGGCAGCTATCAGATCATGGCACGATGGCCACCTCGTGTCCCCCTCCCCCTCCTCCTCCCCACTCCTCCATCCTGTTTCCTTATAAGTATTTTCCCCCTGTCTAACCCTTAGACGTGTCGGTAGGTGGACACTGCGAGGGCGGCAACAGGCAACTCACCAGGTGTTCGCAGCTTCGCCGTTGTTGTTTCGCGCCGTGCTTGACGTGCGGGCGTGGCTGTGCGTGAGAGCGGTGTCCACCATGGCGGATTCCCGTATGTCTCGTTGTTCTTGATCTTGTTATCGGCGGGCGGCGGGGCGGGGGGGTGTCGCAGTGTCGTCTTGCCGCGAAGTCTTGACGTCGCATTGTGAATCAAGCATGAGTCGCTCTGGACATCACAACGCAGGGGGGGACACGACCACAAGAAGAAGGGAGTCGGAGACGGCGGGGAAAAAACGCCCAGGGAGGGGAGCGTCTTGTCATAGTGAGCATAGTACGCGAAAAATGTACGTCTACGAACGTCAAACCAGTTTCAAGTCCGCAGTTTTCTTTGCTGGCCGCCGCTCGTGCGCTGATGCCGTTAATGTGCGGCTGGGAAAGAGGCCATTGGAGGGCACGGCGGAGTCTGTAGAGACCACACACCACGTCACGCAATCGTTGTTTTTTTCATCGATAAAAGGAACGCCGAACCAAATTGAAAAACGATTGTGCGGCCTCCAAGCCTCGAGGAGCTCATCCCGAGTTGGAAGCCATGCGTGATCAACGATCGGGCAGCAAAAGCGGGCTGACAGTTTGCATGCCAAGGGAGCGAAAGAGGGGAAGGGGAACAGGGGCGGGAGGGAAAGGGACGGTTTCGGAGTCGCATGGAACGTCGAAGTCAACAAAGCGAGCAAACTAGAGTCCCAGACGCCCAGACATTGGATGATGGCGTCCCTGGATTGGGGAGAGGCATCAAGCTTCGATGAGCAGGTCCTAGGCTAGAAAGTGTGTAGACATTCGACATTGGTCATCCAGAGAAGCGGTTGCAAAGCCTCCAGGCCGAAGGAGGGATGAAGGGAGAGGGTAAGAGGGGCGAGGAACGGATGGAGTGAGTGGGCTCAGGGACGCATGTGCCCGTCAAGGGTTAGAAATAATACAAAGTCATCAGTCTTGTCGTCCAAAGTACACGCGGCCTGCCCATGCCGAGGGGAAACGAAGTTTCGTGGAGCCCGTCCGAGGGTCGAAAATCATGAGATCATTCTTCTATAGTTGTTCTGACATTCCTATCTCATGGACTTCGGCACATCCCGCCACCATTCTGAGGTTGTGGGTCCGAGGCTTCCTGGATGTTCGTGGGGATCTCGTCGTGGCAGATGGGCGGGACAGCCATTCCCAAAACGGCAGCATTACTTAATGGGGAAGGGGGCGATGATGGCGCTACCGACAATGAAGGCCGCGATCGTCTGACACGCAGCAGGTCCTTTGAGCCCACAATGCAGTGCGCAACGGTGAGCAGGTTCCCCAGTCGATCAAGGATTCGGTCGAAAAAGGGTTCCAGGATGCTAGACGGAACTTCAACATCACGAAGCCGAGTCTGTCGCGCCACACTTCCCTCCGTCACAAGCTGGCGCCGTCCAGTCGGCAGTTTGACATGGCGCGCGACGACCCTAAGGCTCAGGAGAGCCCCATCCAAGCTCTCCAGAAGAAGTTCGCCAGCACGCAGGAGAAAGCTCGCACCGTGCAGATGGAGATCAATGCCACCAAGCTGGAGATGCACACGACCACGGCCGAGGCGGCACCGCCCGCGACGCCCGGAATCGCCCTGGACGCGGCGGCGGCCGGGATCCAGGCGTCCATGGCCATGCCTGCGTTCGGCCAGTACCAGAAGCCCTTGGCCAGGCAGCAGACACAGGCTCCAAAAGGTTCACCTCGCGCAGGCCCCTTCGGTCCCAACCAGGGCGCCGCGGCCCCTGCAGGAGAAGGAGTACCAGTTCCAGAGGCCGACGGGGAGATGGGCGAGCTGTCAGAGCAACGCATCGAACAGCCACTTGCGACCGTCACAGCCGACGGGCAGTAAACGTTTGGGACGTCGGACTACGAAGCAAAAGTGTGGGCGACACCATGTTGGGCCGCGCGGCCCCCAAGCGCTGTGGGACACCATTATCCAGCACACGTGTTCCCGTTCACCTTCTGAAGAGGGCACCAGCTATGTCAGACGACGATTCTCAGGATGTCGCTGAAAGGTTCAACGGCCCCTGCTGGAGCACGTTCCAAGCAACGCCATCGCAGGAGTCGCGCAGTGCCTTTTTTGCGCGCGGGAGGTCGGCACCAGCTCCAGGTTCCTCGGCACGGCCACGGAGGAGGCTACTTAGCTCGGATGGCATGCGTTGTCTGAGGCGGCGGAGGACGATAAGGAGGAGGAGGAGGAGGAGGAGGAGGCGGAGGAGGCGGAGGCGGAGGAGGAGGAGGCGGAGGCGGAGGCGGAGGCGGAGGAGGAGGAGGAGGAGGAGGAGGAGGAGCCTGGCCTTGTCAATCCTGATACGATGGAGATGTTGGCTGGAGTGGTGGCCTGTGCAAGGCTCAGCGTTGGACTCCGATGCCCTCCTGGAGTCGACCCCCCCTGCTGCCCCCTGCATGCTCATCGAGGCACTCGTGGATATCTCTGGGCGGCCCACGACGCCGACGCATGCGGTTTGTCGTAATCCGGCGGAGGGTCTGGGGCCCGTCAACGTGGACCTCTTGGCCACGTTGGCGGCCTCGATATATGACACCTCGCGCTCTCTTTTGGCTTGCGGGTTGGAGCATGAGTCCCGAGGCCCTGGAAAGCATTGGCGCTGCACGCAAGCTAGGCGTGATCACCACGTCCCCGCGAGAGCCCACACGCCGCCCCCCCATCCTCGAGATCGAGCATTGACTTCTTTGTTGTCGGGCCTCGCGTCGGCCGGCTGGTCCAGGCAGGACCTGCACACGCGCAGCGAGACGTGCAGCCTCACCGCCCTGTCCCGTTCGCCACGCGCCCAGACGCTGTCGCGGCGAAGTAGCTCGTGCACAGATTTAGCCGAGAGCCCCGCCGGAGACGCCGTTTGGACCTCGCCAAGGCCGAGGCTGCCAGGATGGAGCCCCACGTCTCGCAGCCTACGCGCCCAGCCTTGCACGACGCAGCCCAGCCACAGGGGCGCGGCAGGGCCTCAATGCAGCATGGTCCACATTCACCGACTGCGCCGAGTCGGATGTGGTTTTTGTCCCGGGAGTGGAAGCCAATGCACTGGGAGAGACAGGGTCGCCCATCCAGTCGTCGCGGACCCCCGTCTCCTGTCGCCCCGAGCTAGCCGATGACCAACTCCTGACAGCTTGTGGCTGGAAGTGGCTGCATCGCGCACTCGCCGAGCGCGCGCAGCGTGCCTGGAACGCAGCCGACAGCGAGTCGAGCCAGACGCGGACCCCCGGGCGTCGCCGCTGCCATCCACTCTTGGCGAAAGGCTTCGGCGTCCGACGGAACGCCATGCTCAGAGCCATGAGAGCTCCGGCCCTAGACTGGAGCCCAGGCCTTCCCCGGCCCCAGGAGCGAAGCGCGAGAGCGAGCGTGCTTTGGCATGATGTTCAGGTGGCCTCACGGATGCCCATGAGACAAGAGGGACACGACCCAGGGCCAGTCTATGGGGCGAGCGCCAGCAGAGGGCCCACGGGCCCATGCACGGGCACGCCCGCCTCCAGAAGAAACATCGGCCCACCACCGTTCAAACCAGCCCCAGCACCCTCAGGAGGAGGAGGAGGAGGAGGAGGAGGAGGAGGAGGAGCAGCAGCAGCAGCAGCAGGAGGGGGAGGAGGAGGAGGAGGAGGAGGAGGAGGAGGAGGAGGAGGAGGAGGAGGAGGAGCGACCCCGTCACGCCCTGAGAGCAGGAGACCTTCACGCTCGGAGGCCCCTGCGACGACCCCTATCAGAGGCTTGAACCCCAGATAGGACCTAGGACGGCATCGAGGTCATTTTTTTTTTTCGCGCGCCGCTCCGTCTCTCGACAACTTGCGCGTTCGCCACTTCAGCCTCCTCAGAGACGCTGCGCTGGAGGTGGTGGCAGTTCTTGTCGAGGCCATCGAGAGACTCGGCTTGTTCCCGACGCAGTTGCTCTGGGCCCCCCTACCTTTGCTGGAGAGACCCGTTGGGGGCCTCGAGGCGGACTCACGCCCATCCTCCTGCTTGCCGCCCCCGCTCGGATCTGAAAAAGTTCATTGCGACCTGAGGCTGACCAATTTCTGCAGCGGGCCAATCGGCCTTGCTGTTTTTCGGTGCGGAGCATTCCTTAGCGGCCGCTGTTTGGATGCAATGTTCGTTGGCTGAGGAGGCCGACTCCGAGGGCCAGATCACAGCTGGCTTGTTTGGGATGGGCAGAAGTACGATGAGTCTTTCAGGCTGGATTGGTTGCGCGATCGCGTTGAATATTGGGCCTTCCCTAGAGTCCTGGCTGAGACCCCGAACAACCTCTGCCCAGGCCTTCGGATCCTCAAGTTGGCGGCCCATCATAGCCCTCCCCCCAGTTCGCTGTCTCGGGGCCCCCAGCGGGCGATACGTTCAAGTATATGTCCAATAAGGTCTCTTCTATGTTCGAGTTCGGTCAGTTCGTGATTCGTAACCCGCAGATCACTTTGTGGTCTCCTGTGGATGATGATACAGCCCTGATGTCAGGCGATGAGAACATCGTTATCGAGACTGGTAGTCACGGCAGCCTCCGACCTCCAATCGATCTTCGTGGAGCGCATCGACATATAGTTGGATGGAGACAAGTCCATTACCTCGGCTATTTCTCCGCCCAAGCGCATTGCTCCGTGCCGCTCTGCGCGAGCGGAGGGCACCTGAGCGACACAGGGTTGCTTGTTGTAGCGTTGAGGTGCGCGCTGCGCCGGCGCAGGCTGGCCGACGCGCAGCGCGATCTGAACGCGATCCTCCGGACCGCTCTGCGCGAGCGGACGGCACTTGAGGGTTGCTTGTTGACGGCGGGACGCCTGGCCAAGAGTTTGGCGCCATATTGCCCCCCCATGGCGATCGACGCCACCATATCCTTAGGCTGCAACCTGGCACCAGCACTCCGGAGGGCTTTCCAAGGTGGCAGGAGCACGAGGAGAGAGCGTTTCGAAATCACGCAGCGGAGACACGGTTTTTGGATTTACCATCGTAATAAGCCCCCGCGGGGCCGTTTCAGGGTGAACAAGACTTACAGATCAGGGGCCAGGCTGGCTGCTTGATACTGTTCGACGGTCCCGGGCATGTCCGATCGGGGTGTCAGCGAGTTCCGCAGCGCGTTGCCGTCAGGCTTCACGTCCGCACATCGACGTGCATCGCTGTCGGCCAAGACCTGCCCGCGCGGCGATCCCACTTGGCTGCAGGCGACGGCACCGGCTAGGCAATGGCCGACACGCTTGTGGCGCAGTCTGACGACGCCCAATACTCCCCCGTTCACCTGCAGGGACCACATTCAGATCTGGAGAAGCCTCGAGATGATGGAGCTCCCCCTGGGCCACAATGAATGGCGCAACTCTGAGGGCCCTGGACATACGATGCGCGTGAGCCTGGAAGGGGTGGGTTGGCAGGTTCAAAGTTTTCACTTGTGGCAGGGTGATTGGGGGAATGTGATAGACTTAACATACACCCCCCCGTGCCATGGTTTCCATTTTCATGAGAGTTGGGCCCAGCGCTCTCACGAGAGACGACTTGCAGCGAGCACCCCCTCTTTCGAAGGTGAACTCGTGTCGGTCGACCCTCTCCGCCCCCCTCCCTTTCTTCGAAGCGAACCTCCCCTCGAGCGAAGCAGTGGATCTGCGTTGCTTTGTTGTTCCGAAAGGGCGCTGGACGGCGGAGAGTCTGCACTCCTGATTACGTTTCAGACGGCAAGCGCCCCTTGCACGGAGACCCCGATTCGCTGTTGCACCGCCAGTGGTTCCGCGAGCACCCAAACGCATCGACGGCCCGCAGCGACGCCGTCGATGCCGAGGTGGTTGCTGCAGCCCGAGCGAGCCCGCAGGCTGAGCACACTTTCTGATCCCGGAGGATTCTGCCTAGCTTTGTAGGGGTTCCGCCCCCCCCTCCCACGGCGGCGACGGACCCCCGTCCTACAGGACGGCGACGGGCGCCCCGCATTCCTCAGGAAGCTTGCGGCAAAGAGCGAGATTGTGATATCTGTGTAGACGGCTCGGCCACTCAGTAAGTGATGAATGGTCTGAACCGCGTTGTTTCTGTTGCTGTGTACTTGGAGCTTAGACCCGAGTACAAGGTACGCACCAAGCTCCTGGTAAATGTCTGGCCAGGCATGACAGTCTCCCCGGTCAGACCAACACCTAAGTTTGGCCACGTTTGTGACCAGCTCCTAGCGGTACGAGTACCCAGACGCATCGCTCGAGGCAGCCAGAATGCCGATCGCTCGGCGAAGCACGCCCTCTCGCTCCATCCTCATCCGTCACCTGCTGATCTGGTTGAGCTGGATAAGCGCGTTGCGCTTTGACTTCCTTCGCCCGTATGTTCGGAGCGGCGTTGCCCCTCTTCCCCAAGCTAGCGTTTCAGAGGGTGCCCAAAGAGAGACGCCTTACTTGTGTGAATACTCTTCCTGACCGGCACGAGTGGGAGGACTTGGAGGAAGAGATGCTTCGTTGCAGCTTGTGCTTTTGGGTTTCGGTTGGCCTCTGGACCAAATCCATAAATTACTGTTTGGGTCTGTCGACGGCTCTCAGACGCTTTGAGGGCGCTTGAAGCAAGAGGTGCCATAGGTTGGGCTTGGCGGTCCTGGACCAGTCCAGGAGACCACTCAGTTTTATTGCGGTTGCGGGGCATATTCCAGCAGGTGCTGCCATTTGCTTGGTCAGATGTGCGCTCGGAGGTCCATTGCCACTGGTGAGAGCGCGTTGAAGCGCATCTGAGATGGCCCTCAACCTCAACACAGGGAGAATCGTGAGGGGTGGCGGTACTGTTTCTCCTGCTCGAGCACCTCCCAAGACGGTGTTCTTGCCCCCACCCCCAGCCTTTGCGGCCGCTCCAAAAAGCGATTGACTGATCGACAACGATCGGTTGCGCACCCTTGCGGGGCGCGTGAGAGCTCGGGAGGACACCTCCAGGCGTTAGTTGATCAGACGATGGATGGTATGTTTTCGGTCTTCGCGTCCTCCTCCTTCTCCTCTTCCTCCTCCTCCTCCTCGTCCTCATCACCTTTACCCACGCTGCGTTTGCATTATGCTTCGAAGTCGTGGGGCGTTCCTTTCTCTGCCTCGCATTCGTCCTTCGCGGAATGAGTGTTGAAGACACATGTTTTCGTGTGCAGGCCAGTACGCGCCCATTGGGTGGAAGTTGTTCGGATACCTCAACTTTTGCGTGGAGGTAAGTCTTTGACAAGTGCGCCACTTCGGTCGACGCATGCTTTAGTGTTTTCATGCTTTCATGTTTGTTTAAGAACTCACTGGTGGTTGTTGTTGCATTGGCGATCCGTGGAAAGTTGTTATTAGCGGCCTGGGCCACGTGGCAAATTTGAAGATCTATAGGAACATATGGTGCCTCACAGTCGCGATGCGTTGCGTCATTCGGCCTCGCACCCTCGATCGATTGCCCAAGCGTCGCGCCGGAGGCTGGCGCATAGCTTCTGTACTGTACATGAGAATATGTCACGACTGGCTTGTCCAGAATACAGTTTCGGAGTCACTATGGCGAGGGAGCGCGAGGGAGGAAAAGAGGAATGTGAGGGGGTGGCGGTGGAACGAATGGTTTCACTGCCGCAGGGCCACGTCGAAGATCGAAGACCAGAAAGTGCGAAACACAGGTCCGCCTGACCCTGCAGAAACGCAAGTCTGGAGTCTCCCGGCCAGGGGAGTGTTTCATGTTTCGATGGTCTTGCCCAACAACAAAGAGATTCTCCACTTGGCCCGTTCAATCAGTCGCTTTCGAGGTCTCCAGGCCGAGGGAGCACCAGAGAGAGAGAGAGAGGTGGAGGGAAAAGGGGACGTGTAGGTAAAGGGAGCCTCAGAACACCATCTCTGGTCAGAGATGCGATAACAGTGTGCTCATGCCGATGGGGCCAGGCTCCGAGGAGCCAGGAGGCATGAGGGAAAGCGGATGAGCAGTTGCCTTTGTTGCCGATGTTGGATTTGGTCTCCGCGCCGCTTGGGGCGTTGCTCTTCTGATCCCGCTTCAAGGGCGGTAAAGTGCTCGCTACGGCAAGCATGACAGCCCGCGTCCGAAGTCTACTCGTCGCCTCCTTCTCCTCTTTGTCGTACTCCTCTTCCGCGTGGATTCCGATTGAATTCCGATCTGCATCCCGACACGGCGCCGAATCGATTTGCGCAGCCGATGTGGATTTGGTGCAGCATCACTTCCAGATCGGTTTAGAATTCCGATCTGATTCGATTCCGATCCCGACCCGATACAGCTCGATTCGATGTCGGTTCCAATTCGATCGGCTCGGTGCGGATGGAGTTTGTCTTAAGTTTCAGAGTTGAGGTCTGTGCTTGAAGCCTTGCCTCCTTCTGGGAAGTGCTCGCCCACGTGAAATCGAAGGATGGGTGGAATGAGACAGGCATGGAGATGGGCGACGTTTGGACCTGCACCCAGGCATGAGATGTTTTGAAAATGGTGAAATCATTGGTCCGTAGCTCCAGATTCGATCGTCTTGTTGGCTTTCCCACGAGGCGTGGATCCGCGAGGTCCCCGCGTGCCCTCAGGAGCCGAAGCCAGGAAGAGGCACTAGCCCGTCTCTCTTGAGAACGCCCTGCTCAAAGCAGAGTTGCGTCGCGAGCGTGGAGCATGGAGGAAATACCGGGGAATGCACACCTGATAGTCACGATGACGACGACCACCACCACCACCACCACGACGGCGGCGGCGGCGGCAGCGACGACGTCGCCGTGATCATCGCCGTCGTCCCGCCAGGACCGGAGGGCGTGAAAGGGTGCGCCGCGTGCCCGCGCAGGAAGCGCAGGAGCAGCTGCTGCAGCGGCTCCAGACTCGGGTGGCCCACCTGCTCTCCAGGGAGCGGCTCGCGCGCAGGCGCCAGGACGCCCGCTGGTGGGGGGTGCTTCTCTCGCTTACTCGTCCGGCTGAGGTCGTGTCCGCCAAATCAGTGGCCGGACGTTTGACATTGTGGTTGGGCTCGTGCAGGAGTGGGCTGCGGAACACGTGAAAGAGCCTGGGCTGCGGAGGAGGTGGAGGAGGAGGACAAGACGGGGGATGATTCAAGGGAGAGGGAGCGAGGAGGAGGAGGAGGAGGAGGAGGAGGAGGAGGCGGAGGAGGAGGCGGAGGAGGAGGAGGAGGAGGAGGAGGAGGAGGAGAGAGGGGAGGGTTCTGCAATTACTTACGGGGCGCCCCGCGGCCCCCCCCGAGCTCCGCCCAAACTTCTGCATCTTCGCCATCATGTTTCTGTTGACAGAGGTCGAACCCTTCCAGATCGCGCCCAGGTGGTCCTCTGATCCAGTCGCATGGTGCGCTGTGGGTGCATTCTGTGCGTGTTCGCTCGAGGACGCTGCCCCTCCCCGCCCCTTCTCCCCCCCATCCTGCCCACTTCTCCCATTGCTCCCCCCCTCTCTCCCCGCCCCCCCCCCCCCCTCCCCCCCAGCTATTCCAGTGCGCTACTGGAGTACCTGGGCTGTCAGGGGCCGTTTTCTTGGGGCTGTCTGGGGCCATCTCGGGGGTCGCTGGGGATTTGGGGCACACCGGCACCAGGCATTTTGTGGCCCTCTGGGGGCCCTCTTGGGCCTTCTTGGCGCACTCTGGGGGTCGTCGTGGGCCGTCCTGGTGCCCTCTCGGGTGGGCCGCTCTGGAGGCCCTCCTGCGCTGCCTTGACTACTGGGCAGTCTTGAGGCCCTCGGAAGCATTACTGCGGCAAGCTTCGGCGGAAAGGCAAGGGAAGCCAAAAGCAGTATCTGGCGAAGGGCCAAGCCCGCTGCAGCTGCGTGTGACGCTGGGCGTGGCCCTCCCCTCGTGTGCTGGGTGGTGGGCTGCCGAGCCAGCGCGCTGAACTCCCTGTGTGGCGAGATCCGTGTGATGGGTGTGCCGAATGGCCGAATTCGGCGGCGAGCGAGGTGGGGAAGTGGACAAGGAGAAGGCCGTCTCAGAAGGCGGCGGGGCTTCTCAGAAGCCCCCAGGCCTGTGAAAGGCATAGAAAACTCGTCATAAGGCCCCAGGCCTTCCGAACCTTCTGAGAAGGCCCGCCCGTTCTCACTTCCCCCGGGCGCGCCGCCGACAGATGGGCGGAGGGACTGCATGTGAGCTCCTAGGAGGAACTCCTGATGGCACGCGATCCCTGCAAGGGATCCGATCCGCCCGCTCGGTTGCCCAGGATGCTCGCCCAGTTCAATTTCCCGCCCGCCCGTCGGGTCTGCCCGCCCGACTCGCTGGATCAGGATCCGCCCGCCCGATCCGTCTCGTAAAGTCCTTCCGCCCGCTTGCGCGAAAGCCCGCCCGCCCGCTTCAATGCCCCTCGAAATGTCCCGCCCGCTCGTGAGAGCCCACCCGCCCGATCCAGTGGTCAGGGTCTGGCCGTCCGACCCACCGGTCAGGGCAAGCCCGCTCGATTGCATGGAAGCCCGCCTGCTCGAGCTGATCAATGACCCGCCCGCTCCACCCACCGGTTAGGGCCCCGCCCGCCAGGGTCCGTCCGCCCGACCCGCCCGTTGAAGCCCACCCACTCGGTTGCACGACAGCCCGCCCGCTCGCTGCGGTGTCCCGCCTGGCCGACTGCGGGGGCCGCAAGAGCGGCCCAATGGGCCCGAAGACGGACCAAGAGGGCCTCCATGGGGCGGGGGGGCCAAACAAAAGCTATCTCCGCAACGCCAGGCGGAGTTGGACCCGAGACTCCGTTGGACTTCTCTTGGCATTGTATTGCAGCCCGCTTGGGGCCTTCCAGTCAGTCGGTCAGCAAGTCAGCCACCAGTCAGCCACTACAGTCAGCACTGATAGTAAGGATGATCGACTTTCCAAGGGTACCCTTGCATCCTTACCTCTTCGGTCATCTTCGGTCCGTCCTCAACCACGTTCGATGGTCAGCCCCGCTCGGAACTCTTCTACATGGGCGTCCGAGGCCCTTGCATCCTTCTCGCGTATCCGCACGATCAGTTTTGACGGCAGGCTCGCCTCGTGTCCACCGGCGGCGACCCCGCCGCGGGCGCTCAACGTGGAACGCCGTTGGCCACCCAGAATCGGTCGATCTTGAACGACCTGACGTTTCCAGGTGCAAGCCCGTGAGGCAAGCTCTCGGTTGCTGGAGCTCAGTCGGGGAGTGGGGTCACCATGCTGATCCCCCCCTTGATCGAACGACGTGGGCGACGACGTTTCCAGAACGGCCGATCAACGCCGAAGTCGGCACGACACGAGTTTGCCGCATTCCGCCGCCCCGTCTGTCGGGCAGTCAGTCGGCCAGCGGCCCAGCACGGTCCGTCGAGCTGCCCAGCCGGTCGGCCGGTTTCTGGTCCGGCGGCTCCTCGGGTCCGAGGCGCGGGCGGGCTGCGCTCGGCGCTGGGGCACGGGTGAAGCTGATTGTGGCACGAGGGCGAGGGGAAATTCCGAGGGAAAGTGGAGCTTGTCCTCTCGTGCTCGGCTTCCTCCGGATGCTATTCTGTGACTTGCTGCATTGTGTGGTAGCGTTCCCTCTACCACGGCTGCTGGCAGCGTCCCTTCTGCCCCTCTGGGCTTCTCTGCTTTCTTCCCTCTGCTATCCAGTTTGTGCGCGCCGACGGCCTAATTTACTGGATTGCCCTTCGCCTGAGTCGGCCTCACATGTCTTTCTCGGACGCTACGGTGTCATTACCAAAGTTTGACCAACGCAAAAGCCGAAGGAGCGGAGAGAAGGCTGCGCGCGGCAGGAGGGCCCTCGGAGCAGGAAGTTTTTCGGGATGTGCCGAAGCGGGCACGTCGTACGGGAAGTGCAGCTGTGGAGGACACACCCCAGGTACGAACGGGGCGCACGATATTGCAAGGTCAAGGTGACAAATCGATGGAACCGAAGCACGAACCAGGGAACCAATCAGCATCGACGACATGCCAAGCGAAGGTGCCCCTAGGTATACAGGCGCCCAAGGTATTGTCAATCTGTCTGACGAGACAAGGGCAGGCCACCAGGTGGCAATGGGCAGAGCGCGAGGCAGGGAGGAAATTACAGTACAAAATGAGTGTATCGGGACGTAACTCCAGGTCGTGGATTAACTCTCATTGATCCCTTCGCAGTCAGCCGCACAGTCGGTCAGTCAGACGGTCAGACAGCTAGTTAGTGAGCCGCCCCGCCAGTCAACCAGTCATCAGGTCATTCGCTCAGTCATTCAGCCGCCCAGTCAGCCAGTTAGTCAGCCGCCAAGGTGGTCAATCAATGAACCCAGCCAGTCAGCCATTCACTTCTCCTCCGCCCAGTTAGGCCGTCACTGAGTGAGCCACCCAATCAATCAATCAGTCAGCCAGTCTCCGGGTAAATTAGTCAGCCGCGTTGCTTAAACAGTGGGCCGCACAGTCGACCAGTCAGTCAGTCAGTCAGTCACCCAGTCACCCAGTCACCCAGTCACCCAGTCAGTCACCGAGTCAGTCAGTCAGTCAGTCAGTCAGCCAGTCAGTCAGTCAGTCAGTCAGTCAGTCCGCTGCCCCGTCAGTAATTCAGCCAGCCAGTCAGTCAGGCAGCTAGCTGCCCAGCCGCTCAGACAGCCATCCAGTCAGTCAGCCACCCAGCCAGTCAGTCAGTCAGTCCGCCACCCAGTCAGCGACGAGTCAGTGAGTCATACAGTCTGTCAGCCAGTCAGCTAATCAGTCAGCCAAACAGCCACGACGAGGACGGCCCAACCATATTGTTTGTGGTTTCTGGCACGCGACTGTGGCCCATCCGTGACTGTGTCCCAGCCCTCGCCGAATGTCTTTTGAAGTTCAAAGCTGTGGGCCCCACTGCCAAGTAATTTCCTCAGCTTTCCCCGCCTCTGCATGCCAGTACGGGGAGCAACAACAAAAGCACGTCCCGCAGCTTCTGCCACCTTTGTATGATGGTACGGGGCCCGTCGTACCCATTGATAGTCGACCTGTCAATACTTCCTTTTCCCCATCGACGTTCAATTCACCACTCCAGCAGTCCAGATGCGCAGGCAGCCGCGACTGGTTGCTGAGTGAGCGGCGGCTTCTTACGGAAACAGAGTTAAAGAGACAACAAAAACGGATTCATCGATATCTCGATATTGTTGCCAGGTCGATAGGAGAAGAAGAAGAAGAAGAAGGAGGAGGAGGAGGAGAAGGCGGAAGAGGAGGGGAAAGAGAAGCGGCCAGAGGGAGATGAGCGGTTGGGAGAGACGTCGGGCCGATCCGAGGTGAGGCAGTTTGGGGATCGTGTGGGGACTTGCGCTCAAGACGCCGAGACAAGGACCGCCTTGGGCTCTGGAGGGGCTCCGGCTGGTTTCCGGGCCGCTCCTTCTGGCATGTGCCGTGGAGCCTACTGGTGGCCGAGGCCCGCCGTGGCCGCAGCGGCCCCATTCGTGCCTTCTGCAGTGGAGGCTCATGCCAAGAAACAGCCTGCTCGCCTCCAGGGTGCCCTGGGTTTCTTAGCTTTCGATGGTGCAGCTGTGGAAAGCGCGACGTCCCCACACAAAAAGTCAAAATGGACGCCCTGGGGGTCTCAGGATTAGGTTTTTTCCTGGAAGGCTTCCTGTGGGCTGGCCTCCACTGTGTGGCGATCCTTATGGTAGCACGATGGCTGTACAGCCAGGCCCGGAGGAGGGGGGCGGACGTCGCCTGCGTGCTGGCGTGCAGGCCGAGGGTGCTGAGCCATTGGCGGTCCACCGTAGTACAGCGTCAAAGCTTTACGGTAGGTTTGCGTCGTGTCGACCAGCGGCGACCCCAGCGTGGGCGTTCAAGGTTGAACGCCGCTGGCGACCCAGAATCGATCGACGTTGAACGATCGGACGTTGCGGCAGCGGCCAATCGTTCAACCTGCCGTACAGTCCTTCCCAGTCCGCAGGGGGGGACCCGCGAGTCCAGGATGGTGGAGGCGGCAATCTCGTGAAAGGAAAGCCCGCAGCGTTCCGGAACGCTCCCAGAGCGTTCCGGAACGCGAGAAGGCCACGGCGCCCGAGACATCCTTGGGAGCCGCCGGATTTCAGAGAGTCTCGATGCTTCTTCACCCGAATTGGTCCTCGTCCTGGCTTCTTCTCGGAGCTGGGGGAAGGACGTCGCCCGCGGCCTCTCCTCCGGCACACGGGCACTCAGAGGGGGGGGGGGGGGGGACGGCGGGGGGGAAGCGCGGGCCCGGGCGGGTCGCTCCGAGGAGGCGGCGGCGCAGCTGACGTCTCAGGCCGCCCGCCCGTCTGCTCGGAGCGGGGCGACGAGGAGGGGCGAGGAGGAGGAGGAGGAGGAGGAGGAGACGGCGGGAAGGCAAGCGAGGGAGCTGGGTGCTGAGGAAGCCCTCCCGGTCGGCACACACACACACACTTTTGCCGTCGGCGGCTAGGCAGAGGGACTGCTCTGGCGATGTAGCGCACACGCGCACACACACACACACACACGCACACACGCATATATATATATATATATACATATATATGTATACATAAATATATATATATATATATATATATATAACGTCGGCGGCTAGGCAAAGTGACTTCGCTGGTGGATGGAGGAAACACACACACACATCTGTCGTGGCGGGCTCGGGACCTCTGGCCGGCACGCCTGGCCCTGGTGGACACCACCAGACCTACGAGGGGAGGGACCGTTCGAATCCTTCAGGATCCCGAGTACTTCCCTGGAAAACCGAGCGGGTTCCCCAGGGAAGTTCCAGAGATTTCTGAGGATCCGAGCGGTTCCCCAGGGAAGTGCTGGGGATTCCAAGGGACCCGATCGATTCCTTGGAGCGGCTCCCGAGGGAAGTGCCAGGGGATCCGAGCGGTTCCCCAGGAGGAAGAAGAGACGACGGGAAGGTAAGCGAGGGAGCCGGATGGAGCGAACACCCCTCCTGATGGGCGCACGCGCACCCTTGCCGTGGCCGGCTTGAGCCCTCCAGCTGGCACGCCTGGCCCCGGTGGACACCAGACCTACGACGGGTTTGGTGTTGGGGCCGCAGATTGCGTTCTCCGAGATTGGTGATCTGTTGCGCTGCGGCTCCGCCATGTAAACAGTATATTGAGAAGGCCTGTCGGCCGGTGCCGCCGACCCTGAAGCGGAACGACGATGACGACGAGCGACGACGACGACGACGACGACGACGACGACGACGACGACGACGACGACGACGACGCCCCCCCCCGGGGGATCCCCCCCTCCCCCCTGGGCGGGGGAGGGATCAAAGGAAAGGGGCTTCCTCTCGGTCGATTACGACGCTGCTCGATTTTCCTCTGACCGGAACGCTTGGAATGGGAGCGGCGACGACGACGACGACTCAAACGGAAAAGCCGATCACAGACGCCGACAGGCTCGGCGGATTCATACTGTGCTTGCGTGGGCCTGGCAGGGGCGACTCGCACGCTCCCAACTCTTGCAGCACACGCGGCGTGGCGGGCACTTTCTCGCCATACCGTCCGCGGAACGATGTACCTTGACATTGCTAAATTAGTTACATGTTCAGGTCGGAGGTGCGCCCGTAACAGAGGTCAAATCGTGCTTGACTGTACGCTCTATTGCGTCCCAATGGTGGGGATGGACCTGTGTAAATGCCCGATGCCGATGCCCGCCAACTGGACAAACGTCTGAAGACCTCCGCTCTGGTTTGAGGAGCCGCTGGGGCTGGAGCTGGAGCCTCTGGGCATTGCGATTTTTCTCGCACTGGGTGTTTCCGCTTTGTTTTGGGCCCCAGGACAATTTTCATATCGATCCAGCTTGACAAATACTGCAGAAAGATTGGGTCTAGGGCTCCGGTCATTATTTTCCGCGATGTTGCATCTTTGTCGCAACGTCGGGCTTCTCACGCCCCCGTCAGGGGTCCTGCATGCCAGACCCCAGGGCTGTCAGGAGACGGCTCAGGATAAAAAGCTGGTCCTCGGGGAGGGGTCCAGACCTTTTTGGGAGCCGCCTGGTGGGAAAATAACCACGTCGGATGTCCGGGACTGCATTGTCACACCACAGTTGTTACGTTACTATAATATGTGGCGGCAGTGTCGATTCGGCGGCATTGATAGTTCTGACTCCTTGTTACGTTACTATAATGTGTGGCGGCAGTGTCGATTCGGCGGCATTGATAGTTCTGACTCCTTGCTTTCTCCTGGCCACGCGCGCAGCGCTGGCGCGTGATTCCATGTGAGATCGCCTTCGCAACAGCCTTTCGCAGAGCACTTGCGCTTTCGAACGGCGCCCAACGGAGTCCGCTGCCACTCTTTCCGTGGTGCTTCACGGCGCGTCACCTTCCAAGCAATCGAGTTTCGGTCGCCAGTGCCCTAATTATTGACATGAGGTTTCTCGTTTCCCTGACAGTCTTGCTGTTGACGTTATTGTTTTGATTCCGCTCGCAAGTCCGAACGCGTTAAGCTTTTGCGTTGCTGAATTTCCTTGTAGCCTCGGAGGCCCTCCCTTCACTTCCTCGTGCCGAGACAAAATCACGACCAGAAGTTCTGGGCAGTTTTCTGATTCTGGAAACCCTTAGCGGGCCCTGGGACCGTCAACACACCACTCATAATGAAAAGTTGTTTCCCGGGAAGGGTTCCAGACCTGGAGTCCAGACCTTTGGGGAGCGACCCTTCGAACAAAATACGGCGTCGAATGTCTGGGTCTTGGTGACCCATTGGCCCTTGGCTTGTCTTGGGAAGATACTCTTGTGATATGTAGATTTCTTGTCGCCCTCTCAACTGCTCCCGAGGGCACCTGAAACAAAAAAACGTGGGAAGCACCACATCGGAGGGCAAAATCGACTTCCTTCGAAAAGACCCATGTCTGGGACAGAGCGCGGGACTGAGGCGGGGAGGGGGGCCAGGGGGAAAGGGTGCGGGAAGGACCCACGGGGAGAGGTGGGGAGGGCGGACGAGTGTGACGACGGGCCGGGAGGGAGCGACGGGGGGTGGCAGGGAGGCGGCCTGGCCCTGGACCCCCCCCCCCCCCGGCACCAAGGCCGCGGACCGCGAGAGGTGGAGGCTCCACCAGCAGGCGGAGCTGCTCCACGTTGCGGGGAGCTTGGAGCACCAGGCTCGGCTACACGAAAGAGCTACCATTCGCCGTAGTGACCTCTTGTGCGAGCACACTGGGGTCTCCAGATGGCTGAACGCGATACGATGGCAGCGTCGTGCGCGCTCGGGTTTGGCCTCCTCGCGGCCCCCGAAAGTCCCGCACCAAAGGTCACTCTTGCCCAGGGTCGCTCTTGCGCGTGGCCGACAGGCCGAGGCCATCCGGGAGCGCACGCGGGAGGCGAGGGCCGCTCGACGAGACCCGAGGCGGGAGCGGGCTGTGATTCCGAAGTCTGCAGCTGCTGGGAGTGGAGGGGGGCAGCAGCAGGGGTCAGGAGCAGCGCTTGGGGGGGGAGTGGGGCCCGGGGGGGGGCCACGTGGACTTCCCCAGTCATCGCCGATGGGGCAGTCGCTGTGGAGCCTCTTGGCCCGACGGAAGGCCTGCCCCAAATTGGTCGCGGCTGTTGCTGTGGGTGCCGATCGCGGCCTTTTTGCCAGAGCTCCCTCTGAGCCCTCGGCCCCGATGAGCAGAAGCAGTGGGACGGCAACTTGCGCGCGACATTTCCTCTGCAAGCCCCTGAACGGCGTAAGGGAGACCAGACACGCCACACAATGTCGATCCCCGACCTTCGATCTTCCAGGATCTCGACCCTCGACCCTCGATCCTCGATCCTCGACCCTCGATCCTCGACCCTCGATCCTCGATCCTCCCAGGGCGCGCGTCCAAGGTGCGCAGTTCTCGGGCGGGCGGTAATGGAGGGGGGCCCAAATTGGAGGTGAATAAAAGGGCCCCAAAGGTACCCTTTTGGGCCTCGTCCTCCTCCTCCTCCTCCTCCTCCTCCTCCTCCTCCTTACCTCCTCCTCCTCCTCCTCCTCCTCCTCCTCCTCCTCCTCCTCCTCCTCCCCTATTGGCGCCAAAAGGGGCCCCAAACGACCCTTGAGGGCCCTTTTCTGCACCCCCAGTGGAGGAGGTCACCCCCCCATTACCACCTGCCCGAAGTTCCTGCTCCTCTCAGCTGCCGCAGTTTCGAGCGCGCTGGTTAGGTTTCGTTGTGGTCAGTTGTCTGGCGTCGGGTGTGCTCGAGCGGTGGAGTCGCCCCTGCGAATGAGCCGTGATTCGCCCTCCGCTGGTCTTTGACGATCTTCGTGCGGTGGCCTGGCTCGACGCATCGATACATCCAGCGCCCGTCCCTCCGACTCACAACTCCCAAGTTTCCGACTCCAGCTTCTTACTCTCCGACTTCGGCCGAGTTCCGAGTTCTGTCGGCGCCTTGGCGCGCCAGCCGTTCCTTACACGGGACGCCCTCGAGGCGACATCAGCGCCGCTCCGCTCTGCTCCGCTCACCCCCGCGTTGGTCAAACTGTATCTGGTTTGGGCGTGCAGATGCAGAGCGCCTTTGGGGGGCAGAGCGGCACAAGCAGCGCGGCCAGATGCACGAGCTGTTTTTTCCTCGCGGCAAGGCGGGTCCAGGAACGGTTTGGGTGCGTCTTGGGCCGCTCTCCATGGCCCTCGAAGGGTGTCTTGGAGCTGACTTGAGGAGTTTGAGCTACCAGGGGCTCTTCATTCGGTCGGATACTGGGCGCCAGACTTGTAGCTTTTTCCAGGCCGCCTTGAGCACTTCCCGTCCACCCACCCACACAGATCCATGTGAGCGAATTGGGTCCCTTGGGAGGCGGGGTCTGGGGTGGGCGAAGGGTCTCACACGCTCGATACCTATTAGGTTGGGATCGGCCATTACCCGAATATCCGTATAAGTGTATGTGGATCTCTCTCGTGCAAAGAACATTGAGTCTCTGTGATTGGACGACCCGGGCCACGGCTGAAACGTGGCCAAGGCCAGGGCCAGGACAGGGTATCAGCCAGAAAAGAATTGCGTTGCCTTTTTAAGATTGTCCCCAAATCGCGAGGATGCAGACGCTCGAGCACAACCAGGCAATCGGCGACCAGATGCGCGAGGACTGCGTCGGCGTCGCTCGCTTCGCCGCGGTGTTGGCCGCGACGGTCGCATGAAGCAATGTCACGCTGGGGCCTCCCCGAGGGTCGCTTGCCCGCGCGGGACCCTTGTGATCTTAGCGTCGTGTGCGGACGCCCATCGACGTCCGCCGAGACCGCGGGCGCCCAAGGGGAGAGGAGGGGGGTGTGCCTCCACAGCTCGATGGAAGCACCCACCAGCCCCACCGCCTGCCGATGCCACGGCCTGAACGGGCAGCGCGGCCTGACCGCGGGGGCGGGCGGGCAGGCGGGCGCCCCGCAGAAGGATGCCAGACATCTGGGGCTCTGCTGGGCCTTTCAGCCGCCGCTCATCGGGGAGGGCGGGAAAAGAGCCATCCCCAGTGAGAAAGGTCCCGAACCCTGCCCGCCTCCAGCGGTTCTGACAGGCGGGATGGGGGGTGCGCAGCAGGGGGAGGGGCCTTCGTAATGATTCTGGGTTCCCCAGCTCAGGCCTCGCGTTACAAAAGAGGGCAAGTCGGCGGAAGAACAGATCGGAGATTGACGGCTGCGTTCAACCCAGCCCAATCCAAGCTGGCCCAGAGTGGCGCTGTCTCCCGAAACGCGAAGCGTCAGCAGGTGTCTGCAGCAGTGGCCTTTCCCCAGCAGTCAAGCCAGGAGGCGGGCCCCTGCAGGCGCCAAATCAGTACACCAATCCTTCAGATCTCTTCGGCACATCGAGCGATGGAATCCCAGCCTGTGATTCTGGCAGACTGGGCGCCAGGCCGTTCGGCATTCTTCCAAAGTCCGCCAGTTGTTGTTATGTAGCGACCTGTAAGTCTCCCGCCGCGCCTGCTTCAGTGCCTGAATTCGCCTCGGAAGCGCCCCTCCGTCGTTCGAACGCTGCTAAGCCAAGCAGCCGCAGACCAAACAAGTGTTTTGTTGCGACCAACCGGAGGAAACAAAAAGGGTGCGCAGGAAGGCGATCACAGGCTGGCTGGCCGAGCGGGAGGCCGAGGCCAGCGGGGCAGGGAGCGAAGCAGGCAGACGACAGGCGGAAAGGCCAGGAACGGCATGCAGGCAGCAGGGACGGTTTTAATTTGGCACGACCTCAATACAGTCAAAGCGCACAGTAAGGATGAACGATACTTCAATGTTACTCTTTGCATCCTTCTCTTGTGGCCCATCCTTGACCACTTTCACTGGTCGCGCCCCGCTCGTAAAATGCTGGCATGGCCTTCAACCGCCCTTGCATCCTTATCGTGCATCCTTATGATACGCGTTGATTGCAGGATGTTTTTTCCCAACCATCCTGTGGTGTTGAGTCCTCGCTTTGAAGAGACAGCGCCCCGCGTCCTCCCTCATCTTCCTCCTCCCCTCCTTCCTCCTCCCTCCTCCCCCTCCTCCCTGCGCTTCACCCACCCAGTAGAGCGCTTCGTGGCCCCATAGGGAGCCCCACCGAAGGTCCCAGTGCTGCCGGCCGCAGCGTACCGCACACCCAGTACAGCGTTTCGTGGCCGTCCTCCCCCTGCTCCTTGCGTTTCACCCACCCAGTACAGCGTTTCGTGGCCCCATAGGGAGCCCCACGGAAGGTCCCAGTGCTGCCGGCCGCATGCGTCCTGCACACCCACTACAGCGTTTCGTGGCCCTCCTCCCCCTCCTCCCTGCGTTTCACCCACCCAGTACAGCGCTTCGTGGCCCCATATGGGAGCCCCACCGAAGGTCCCAGCGCTGCCGTCCGCATGCGTCCCGCACACCCAGCACAGCGTTTCGTGGCCCTCTTCCTCCTTTTCTTTGCGTTTCACCCACCCAGTACAGCGCTTCGTGGCCCCATAGGGAGCCCCATCGAAGGTCCCAGTGCTGCCGTCCGCACGTGTCCCGCACACCCAGTACAGCGCTTCATGGCCCCATAGGGGGCCCCATCGAAGGTCCCAGTGCTGCCGCCCGCATGCGTCCCCCCCACCCAGTACACCGTTTCGTGGCCCTCCTTCCCCTGCTCCCTGCGGTTCACCCACCCAGTACCTCGTTTCGTGGCCCCGTAGGGAGCCCCACCGAAGGTCCCAGTGCTGCCGCCCGTGTGCGCCCCGCACACCCAGTACAATGTTTCGTGGCCCCACAGGAAGCTCCACCGAAACCACCAGTGGGACCGTCCGCATGCGTCCCGAAACACCTAATTTGGCATTTTCGCCCACCTAGTACAGCGTCTCGTGGCCCCATCGGGAACTCCACCGAAGGCCCCAGTGCCGCCGTCCGCATGCGTCCCGAAAACACAATGTGGCATTTTTGCTTGCCCAGTACAGCGCATCGTGGCCCCATAGGGAACCCCACCGACGGCCCCAGTGGGACTGTCCGCAAGCGGTCCGAAACAACCAATGTGGCATTTTCACTCACCCAGTACAGCGTTTCGTGGCCCTATAGGGAGCTCCACCGGATGCTTCAGTGCCACCGTCCGCATGCGTCCCGAAAACCCAATGTGGCATTTTCACCCGCCCAGTACAACGCTTCGTGGCTCCATAGGGAGCTCCACCGAAGTGCCCAGTGGGACCGTCCGCGTGCGTCCCGGAAACTTATTTTTGCATTTCCTTCCACCCAGTAAAACATTTCGTGGCCCCATAGGGAGCTGCACCGAAGGCCCCAGTGCCACCGTCCGCATGCGTCCCCGAATCCCAATTTGGCATTTTCGCACACCCATTACAGCGCCTCGTGGCCCCATAGGAAGCTCCACCGAAGCGCCCAGTGGGAGCGTCCGCATGCGCCCAGGAAGCCCAATGTGGCACACCACCCACTCAGTACAGCGCTCCCCCCACCCAGTGCAGCGCTTCGTTGCCCCATAGGGAGCTTCATGGTTGGGTCCTTTGCCAGGATAACTCTTCTGTTTCTAGTGGGAGTCTAATGGGGGCGCCAAGGGAAGTTGCAGGCAAGCTGGAGTCAGACTACATGGCCGATGAGCATTCAATCGCAAGGCAGCACCAAGGCAAGTTGATGGCAAGGGAAGTCCAAGCGATTGGCGAGATACGTATGAGCGACCTTGAAGTCAAGCCGACAGCAGACTGACCACAACAGAAAGGCCAGACAGACAGCAGTACGAATGCATTCGAACAGCAAAATGGACATGAGCTCAGGCCAGGCTCGAAGCAAAAGGAATTCACGCCTTCAACAAGTCAAAGGCAAGATGAGGGCAAGCTAGGGATAAGCTCCATGCCAAGCTACATGAAAGCTGGCATTGAGCTTAGGTCGAACCAAGTGCGTTCTGAGTTCGTGATCAACACGAGCTGGACGTGAGAAGCCAAAATGAAACTTATTGCGACCTGCGAAAGGACAGCAAAGGAAAGCAGGGCAACGCCCACCTGAGGAGACACATGCGTTAGTCTCAGGAGCCTCAAGATCTTCAAATACTAGCAGGTATATTTCTTGGACTTCCCAACAAGGATCGGCCAGGGAGTATTACATGAGCGGGTTCGCGACGGTATTTGTGGGATGGGACCGAGTGCGTGTATTGTCGATGTGGCAGACATGTACATATATATATATATACACACACATACATATGTGTGTATTTATATATATATATATATATATATATATATATATATATATATATCCTCGTGCACGAGGCCTGGGCGCCCGGGGCCCGGGGCCCGGGGGGGCATGGGAGGACCAGGGTTTCCCAGATTGCCCCAGAGAGCTCCAAGACGCTCCCAGAAGCCCCCGGGGGACTTCGACAAGCCCCTCCAAGACAGCCCAGATAACCCCAACGTGGCCCCAGATGGGTTCCAGACCGGAAATACACGGCCCAAGAGGCCTCCAAGAGGCCTCAAGAGACCTCCGAGAGGCGTCCCGAGAGAGCTCGAAGAGTCAAAAATCCTTCGTTCTCGGTGGTTGTTCCCCACATGTTTCGTGGGGTTATGGTTTTCATCCCTGCCGCGTCGCACCCGCGAGCCTCACCTCACCTCCTCCTCCTCCTCCTCCTCCTCCTCCTCCTCCTCCTCCTCCTCCTCCTCCTCCTCCTCCTCCTTTTCACACAGCGCAGCTCAGCTCAGCTCCTTACAGCACAGCTCATCTCAGCACAGCACTGCACAGCACAGCACCTCAGCACAGCACAGCTCAGCACTACACAGCACATCACAGCACAGCACCTCTGGACACCATAGGGGGGTGCGCAGCAGGTGGTCTCTGAGCGCGGCCGCTATCCACGACATTGTCGCAAAGCCTAGCAGGCGTGGCACTTCCTGGACACCGTAGGGGGTGCGCAGGGGGAGGTCTCTCAGCGCGGCCGCTATCCACGACACTGTCGCAAACACTAGCAGGCGTGGCACTTTCTGGACACCATAGGGGGTGCGCAGGGAGGGTCTCTCAGCGCGGCCGCTATCCACGACACTGTCGCAAAGTCTAGCAGGCGTGGCACTTTCTGGACACCATAGGGGGTGCGTAGGGGGCGGCTTCTCAGCGCGGCCGCTACCCACGACATTGTCGCAAAGCCTAGCAGTCGTGGCACTTTCTGGACACCATAGGGGGTGCGCAGGGGGGTGGTCTTTCAGCGCGGCAGTTATCCACGACACCGTCGCAAAGACTAGCAGGCGGGGTACTTTCTGGACACCATAGGGGGGGCGCCGGGGGGTCTCTCAGCGCGGCCGCTATCCACGACACTGTCGCAAAGCCTAGCAGGCGTGGCCCTTTTCTGGACATCACAGGGGGTGCGCAGGGGGGGGTCTCTGAGCGCGACCGCTATCCACGACACTGCCGCAAAGCCTGGCAGGCGTTGCACTTTCTGGACGCCACAGGGAGTGCGCTGGGGGTGCGGTCGCTATCCGTTTCGGGCTCGCAGCGTGTGGCAGGCGTGGCCTTTTCTCGATGCCACAGAGGGTGCGCTGGGGGTGCGGTCGCTATCCGTTTCGGTTTCGCAAAGCGTGGCAGGCGTGACATTTCCTCGACGCCACAGGGGGTGCGTTAGGGGTACGGTCGCTATCCGCTGCGGGCTCGCAACGCGTGGCAGGCGCGGTACTTTCTCGATGCCACAGGGGGTGCGCCGGGGGTGCGGTCGCTATCCGCTTCGGCTTCGCAAAGCGTGGCAGGCGTGGCACTTTCTCGACGCCACAGGGAGTGCGCTGGGGGTGCGGTCGCTTTCGGGTTCGCAAAGCGTGGCAGGCGTGGCAACCTCTCGACGCCGAAGGGGGTGCGCCGGGGGTGCGGTCGCTATCCGCTTCGGCTTCGCAAAGCGTGGCAGGCGTGACACTTCCTCGACGCCACAGGGGGCGCGCTGGTGTGGCAGGCGTTGCATTTCCTCGACGCCGCAAGGGGGGCCTTGGGGGTGCGGTCGCTATCCGCTTCGGGCTCGCAAAGTGTGGCTTGCGCGGCGCTTCTCCTCTCCACCTCTCCTCTTGACTGGCGTCACCAACGGTATCGGCGGGGCAACGGCCACCAACATCATTCTCACATGTCAGTTATCATTACTCCAGCCATGATATAAGTATGTGGGGTTCCTCGGTAGCGTAATTTCAATGTTTTTCGGTGGCCCGCGTTTTCGACATTCCGACGCTCCACCACAGCCGACGACGCTCCCAAGACCGCCCCAAGACCGCCGAAGAGGCCCCCGACAGAGCCCCAAGACTGCCCTAGGGAGCCCCTCCGTAGAAATTTTGGCTCAAGTCGAGTAGGCCCCAGGCCCAAGCAGCTTTGCCTCTGGCCCAGGAAGAGCAACAACCAAGAGACAAATTACCTGAGCTATTTGCATCATCGCGTTGATTCAATGGCCTCAGAGAACAATCATGATGGTGAGGCCTTGTTAGACAAAGTCGTTATTGATGATGAAGGGAAGCCGAACGTTGGTGCCAGCCCGCAGCGGCGTAATGACATCGACGGTTTGCGTGCTTTGGCTGTGTTTGCGGTCATCGTTTTTCATGCAAATCCTGCATGGCTTCCTGGGGGGTTTGCTGGAGTCGATATGTTTTTTACCATCTCTGGCTACGTGAACACAGTTTCTTTACTTCATGGCTGTGAAGATACATGCGTGGACACATGAAATTTCTATGGCCGGCGCATGTGGCGTTTGGCACCTGCCCTCATGGCGACCGTGCTGATCACCACCATCCTCAATTCTGTGCTCATGCTACCTTCCTCTCCAGGCATGGATGGTTACTACATATCAGGTCTCCTTGGGCTTGTGGGCTTGTCCAATAATTACTTTGCCAGTCTGCAGCTAGATTATTTTGAAAACGGGCACAGCCATCAGGAGCTCAATCCCTTCATGCACTTGTGGTCATTGGGTGTTGAAGAGCAGTTCTATGTACTCTTCCCTTTCCTGCTGAGCTGGGCGCGAAAGCTTCAGTCGCCCGCTTGGGTTATCGCAGTGTGCGCTGTCATTTCCATGCTTGTGTCCTGCATCCTCACCTGCTCGACTTATTCCAACGCCCAAGTCGCGTTCTATATATTACCGTCCCGGTTTTGGGAGTTGGCGCTTGGCGCGTGTTTCATATGATGCCGAACTATGCACCCGGTACGGACACCATTGCGAACGGCGTCAGGTATATAATATTGCAGGTTGCATCGTTGTTGTTGCTCATTGTTGGGCTGTTGTTCACGCCAAGTGGTTGGGGGTTTCCCTTCCCTTGGGCGTCGCTGAGTGTTGGCGGGACGCTCTGCTTTATAGCTGCAGGTAGTTAACCGAATGCGATTCTAAATGCGTGCTTTGGCAGCAAGTTCTTGGTGTACATCGGTAATCTGTCATATGCCCTCTATCTGTGGCATTGGCCAGTACTAGTGTTTATGCGGGGGACCGAATGTCTCAAGTCTCCCACGTCCATGGTGATTGTTTTTGCCATAACCTTAGCACTCGCAATGGCCACGTACCACTTGATGGAGGCTCCCCTTCACAAGCGTCGCCCGAAACAAACCTCCAATATCTTTGGGATCTTATTACCCTTGCTCGCTATCACGGCCCTGATCTCTTGGTCTCTGGGCTTCTACTATATCGGCGCCGTCTACGTGGATGCCACATGTTCCGACGGTGCGACCACTTCCAGCACCGCAGCCACGGCCAATTCCTCTTCCCATGAAGTATGCTCTGGCGGGGGCGGGTGGCACGGGAACCCATTGACGTGGCACCCTGACAAGTCGTCTTCTTGCCCCATGAACTTCTCATGGAGCAGTTATGCGAGACACTGCGGCGAGGACGCCAGCGACGTGACGCACTCCAGATTCTTATTTCTGGGGGATTCGACGATGAACCTATTGTATAGCAGGCTGCACCCTATTTTCGATAGTGCTTGGCATGACACGGCCGTCTCTAAGAATGACTGCGACAGGATGGAATTCCTAGGTTTGGATCCAGCGCCAGAGTGGGTGCCTCCGCCGCAAGGTTTCGCCCCGCTCTTCAAAGGTCTTACCCACCCTTATTGCCAAGACACTCCGTCATTGAGGTGTTATCGTGGTCAGGTTTCTGTTGCTTCGGGCAATGTCAGCAAGCAGTGCGTGCTGGATTTTGAGTACGTTCCCGTGGAATACGCGATAGATGTTTCATTGCAGACTAACGAGACAAATACCACTCAGGGCACCATTGCCGCTTATGTTAAGAAGCGGTACGGCAGCGTGGACGCCATCATTACGAACCAGGGTTTACATGATTTCTACATGGAAGCCATGTCAGCTGACGACTATGTAGAGTCTGTGCGCGAACAGTTGCTCGCTTTTCAAGGCTCGGTGACCGTGATTATCTGGATCTTGATAAATCACATTTTCGAGGATCCCGTTCAGACGCCGTTCATTACCAATGCGCGGTGCGCGCAGTGGAACGAGGCGGTGACCGACATGATATCCAGTGAATTCCCCAACGTGTATATTTTGGATGCCTATAAAATGTCCAAACTTCAGAGCATGCACAAGGACCGTTTTCATATGACACTGGACTATTACGACGTTCTAGCCGACATAGTCCTCAGTTTTGCGATACCGAATGCGGACCAGTGATCGAGGGGGTGGTGGGGGAGGTGGCGGTGGTGGCGGGGGGGAGGAGGATTACTTGCATGTCCTTTATGGTCCGCATTCTTGGGCACGGGGCACTCCTCTGTAGCCCCAATCTCCGTTGTGGTCTTCATATGTCTCAATACTTGCTGGTCTTGACTCGCGAGGCGCGCGTGCGTTCGCGTGCGTCAGTGTTGCCCACGTGAGATAGTGTGGATTGGGGGGTTTGGGCCCGGATTCTATCGCTGCAAGAGCCTGGAGTGGTCAACGCGCATTTAGCGACTTGGCGACAAAGCTTCGCCGTCGCCTATGCACGCCCAGAGGCACTCGTGTCGCGAACGGCTTGAAGTAGGCTTGCCTTTGCGGGCGGGTTGACACGCTTTCTTGGCAGGGTTTTGCCCTCCTCGCCCTTCTTTGGAGGAGGAGGAGGAGGTGGAGGAGGAGGACGAGGACGAGGAGGAGCAGCTACTTCAGCTTCCCTGAAGCAGTTCCAGCGTTCTGGAAGCAGGCTTCGCCTTCCGGAGGTACGCTTCGGCCGTTCCGGAAAAAGGTGCCGCCTGTCCCGGACACCAGTTCCGTCCATTCTGTAAGCATGGGTTGGGTCTCCATGTCTCGCACAATTGGGAACCAGTTGTTGTCCCGGCCGCCTGACCCAGGTGAGAGTCGGGGCAAAGACTTGTGCCGCAGCGCCTCGTCCGTTGTTCTGCCGAGCCGCCTTGCTCACTGCCGCCCGGCGAGTTTTCTGCCCCTCCGTGATGCTTGCCAGGCACCAGCGAAAGACGACACTTGATATGCTAGGCTGTGGCCCGCTTGACGCCCCGCACAACGATAGGTTGCGAGACCCGCGAACGCGCTTGCATAACTTCTTATATACTTCTTCTGTATTTTGCTTATCCACGTTGCCGCGGAGCGGGTCACTGATTTAGTTGCACATCGTTGCGCGTATATGCCAGCATTCGCTTCACTTCCATCTTCTTATTCTCATGGTCTTACCTTCTCTCCTAATGACGAACACGGTCCAGACCAGTTTTTCTTAAGTTTCACACAGCCTCCAAAGAGGGACAATTAGGTTAACATCAATGTGACATTTTCATATTGCCTGTGCAGAATGTGTGTCGCCCAGGAAAAAAAAACACACAACAAAAAAAACAAAAAAAGACTGCCCTAGGGAGCCCGAAAATTGCCCGGGACGAGCTTCAGACGGCCCAAGGAAGCACCAGGACAGGCCCAAGCTGGGCCCCAGAGCGGGAGCGGGAGGCCCCAGGGCGCTCCAAGACGGCCTTGATGGGCCCATCGTGGTCCCAGATGGACCCAACACGGCCAATACACAGCCCAAGAGCCTTCCAAGAGGCCCCAGGAGCGTTCCGAGAGGCGTGCCGAGAGAGCCCGAAGAGGCCCATATCCCTGATTTCCAGTAGGTCTTGCTCCAATGTTTTTCGCTTTCTCGCGATCGGGAGAGCCTGAAGACTGCCCAAGAGCAGCCCAAGACTGTGCAAGAGAGCCCCAGGACAGGCCCAAGCTGGGCCACAGAGCGGGAGCGGGAAGCCCCAGGGCGCTCCAGGACGGCCGAGGTGATTCCAACGTGGCCCAAGAGCTCAAGACGGCAAACACACAGCCCAAAAGCCTTCCAAGAGGGCCCAAGAGAGCTCCGAAAGACGTCCCGAGAGAGCCGAAAGAGGCCCAAAGCATTGATTTGCATTGGATTATTTGATGTGTTTCGCTTTCTCGCGTTCTCGAGCTTCCAATGCTCGAAAACGGCCGCAGACGCCCCCAAAACCGCCCCGAGACCGCCGAAGAGGCACCCAAAAGAGCCCCAAGACGGCCCCAGGGAGCCCGAAAAATAGTCCAGAAGGAGCTAAGAGAACCCCAGGACAGGCCCAAGCTGGGCCGCAGAGCGGGAGCGGGAGGCCCCAAGACGGCCCAGGTGGCCCGGGCCTCCCCCCTCCGCCCCCCCTTCCTTCCCGCCCCGTTCCCATGCCTCCATTCCTTCCTCTCTCCTTTTCCTCCCATCACCCCTCAGCTTTCGTGCTCATCTCTCCTCTCCTCGGGCGGCCCCGCCAGAGCGCCAGACAGGCCCCGCCAGAGCGAGCGGGGCATCGCTATACCCTATCGTTTCACAAGTTGCTGTCCCCCTCCCACCCCTCAAGGGCGGCCCCGGCAGAGCGAGAGCGTTCGGACTACGCGTTTCTTTGCGTCTGTGACTGGGCCCGAGAACGCTGGAAATCGTCGTTGTGACCACAGCGGGGCTTACAGCGGCACCCGTGCCTCATCTGCGACTAGATCCTAAGCGCGCGTAGCGCGCGCGTGGTTCTAGTGTGTGTGTGTATATGTGTGTGGATACATACCTACAAATATATGTATATATAAATGTGTGTGTATGTGTGTACATAGATACACATATATTTTTATATACATATATATAGATACGTACGTACGTACGTACGTACGTACGTACGTACGTACGTACGTACATACAGACAGACAGACAGACAGACAGACAGACAGGCACACATGCACACACATACATACATACATACATACATACATACATACATACATACATACATGCATGCATGCATGCATGCATACATACATACATACATGCATACATACATACATGCATGCATATATACATGCATGCATGCATGCATGCATGCAGACATGCATACATACATATGCACCTACATACATACACATGGATTTCCCTCAGAAAGTCCATGCTCACCCAAAACATGCGTACATTACACTTGTCCTTGGAATTAGGTGTGGCAGCGTCGGCGCGGGCAGCTCTGCAACGTCTCGAGCAAACCAAACAGGAAGACACAATAGCTGACTTTGGTGCATTGACAGAGTATGGCGATACTGCGTCATCTGATGAGTTGTGGCCGCATTAGTTCCCAAACATGATGCGCACGCTCTCTACGTTGAGTGCGTGTCCAGATGCGGCCAGTTGCCAGGCGGCTACTCCTGACGGAAACATGCCTTCCTTCGTTTTGGAGGGCGCTTTCTCTTGCACAAACCCAGCATTACGTAAATAGTACAGATTGTTCGCATGACGGCAAGTCAGACGGCCAAGGACACGGTAAGCTTCAGTTAGTCGTCTTGCTTTTCACCCACACCGACATGGACAAGCACCAAAACCACCTTTTCTTGTCACACGCGTCAGTCTTGCCATGTGTTCTCACAATGACCTTCGGGCATCACGGCAAACCTCAACCAAACTCATCGGCTCAAGGAACGGGACCCAAAAACGACAAAACATATATGGCATTCCCCGCTTGGTACGCACAAGAGACAGATGGATTCGCAGCCGCCTCTGCAGACCGACCTGCACAAGGTCGTACGGGAGGGCACCGCCAGTGCTTCGGCAGTGGGGAGCTTCCAACCAGGCGCTGGCGCCCAGGACCAAGGTCTGCCAAAGAGGGGAGGATGGCCCATGTGGCGGGCCCCCATGACGGAAACGTGAGGGAGCTGGCAGGACGGAGTGCGGAGGAGAGGAAGGGCGCTGATTCACCCGCTAGGACTCCCGGCGGCTGGCGCTGGAAGCACACAGCGCCCGCGAGGCAGAGGAGCAGCGCGTCCAGGCGCGGGCCGAGGCCGCGAGGCAGCGGCGCTTGGAGCAGCAGGAAGCCAGGCGCAAGTGCCACCCCCTGCATCCCTGCACATCGGGCGTCCCTTCGCTTTCCTCTCGTGCTATGAAGAAGAGAGGTCCTAAGGGAAAGGTGCCCCGAGGTTTGTTATCTTGTTCGGCCTCTTCCAGGCCCTTCCTGGACCGCAGCAACTACAAAACGATTCAGGATGAAGAGCCAGTCTTCTGAAAAAGTCCCGGGTCAATGACCCGGTTTTTTTAGGTTTGTTCATGGCAACATTCTTCATTCGCCCATCCATTTTTTCATTCTGACTGCAATTTCGTCGCGGGGCGTACCCGCCACAGGCTGCTCTGGTGATGGGCCCTGATGGCAGACTTGGGACTTCGAAGCCTCTTGGGGCGAAAGGAAGATGATAGGCCCAAAACATGGAATACATTGTTCCCTCAGCCTTCCTTGCAGTGGGCTCCTCGTTTTGAACAGCATGTTCTGCCCCCCTCCTCTAATCATTCCCGCGCCTCCCGCTTCCCTCCATAACTCCCCCTCTCTCTCGCGCTCTGTCCTCTCTGTCGCTCCCCTGGGAGCTTCCGGGCGTGCAATCGTCGCCCATTTCCTGCGCCGCTGGGGGGCAAGCGTAGTGATGCCACCCTCAGATCGAGCTAGACCTCGCCCTCTGGAGGCCCTGTTTGGTTACACTGGAGCCCTGTTGAGGGCAGCGCCGGCCCCGCTGGGTCGTCTGGGCAAGAACTTGGGCAACTCCTGGGCCGCATTGGGTCCCCTGAAGCGCTGCTCAAACCATCTCGGGCCGAAAAGCTGGAAAGCAAAATAGTGAGGAATAGCGTGCGGGAAGGATTTGGCCGAATTGAGGCGTTTCTTGGAGCCTCTTGGCGCCTCTCTTCGGGGCCTTCCGTTAGCTTCTCGGGGCCTGTTGGGTCATGTTGCGGGCCTCTAAGGCCGCCCTGGCAGACGTGGGACAGTCTAAGGGGGAAATCGGCCGCTCGGACCCTGATGAACCTGGGACGCCACAGGGGGGAGGGGAGGCAAGGGGCAGAGGCAGTCTTACGCACCCAGTGGCCCCGAAAAGTCGGCGAACTTGGGTGAAGACCTTCGCCTTTCTAGGGTCGCCCCTTGCCAACCCAGAGGCCCCGAAAAGTCGGAGAGAGGGCCTTCGCCTTTCTGGAGGCACCCCTTGCCAGCTCCGTTCAAGGGGGCCAGGAACAGGATCAAATGCGCGAACGGGAGGGGGAGGAGGAGGAGGAGGAGGAGAAGGAGAAGGAGGAGCAGGAAGAGGAGGAGGAGGAGGGCCAGAATAACAGTTGGGTGCACCAAAGATGTTGCAACACATCCTCTCGTCACAAGCCCCTTCATTATAGGTCCCTAAAGAATTCCCTAACACTGCGGGGAGCGGAGAAGGAGGAGAGGAGGGGAAGGAGGAGAGCAGAAGAGCAAGGATCGGGAGGGGAAAGAGGAGGGGGAACCAAAAGGGAGGCTGGAAGCCTGAACTGGCTTTGCTGATGTTCCCCTCTTTCGCCAAGACGCGCAGAAGGTAGATACCAGCTAAAGGGTGAGTCCCACCCGTTCGATTTGAAACAGAGAGACGAGGGGGGCAGCAGCAGCAGCAGCAGCAAGTTCACAACGTTCGCATTGGTGTCCCCTCTTCTGTTCTCCGAATGAGCACGTGCATTTCCCAGGTTCGTGTTGGTGTCTTCGCTTGGGGTCTTGACCGAGGCCCAGATGTGGCGGACTCGGAACTGGCCGCCTGACCCAGCGTTCGAGGGGACTGGCGGGCAAAGGGCATCCGCCTGGCCCAAGTGGAGCGCGCCGAAACCTTCAGGACACGTCTGCGCAACATGTGGGCGAGAGCAAGATTCCGTTTTCTCCTCGCGCGCGGCCCCGCTTCCAGCAGGCCCGACGGAAAAAAGAAGCATGCACCGCACATTTTGCCATGCCCATTACAGACTTGCACGCACGGCGGTGAGGAAGGCAGTGACGTGTCGTTCTCGCGGGCGCGCGATGTGCGCCGCGCCTCTCTCCTGCCATGTAATGTGCAACGTCGGTCGCAATCCGTGAGCGGTTCAAGGTGCAACGGTAGTTCAGTATTGATTTGGATCGGCACTGTGCACGCTTCGACCTCCTCGTCGGGGCGAAAGGGGATCGGGGGCAGCTTGCACTCCAGAGTCAGACAGGCAGGAGTAGGAGCAGGAGAACGGGGAGAGAAACGGCAGGAGCAGGAGCGCGGGTGCGTCCACGCTGCGCGAGCTCGGACGCTACGAAGGTTGTCGAACTCGTTCCGATGCCATGCCCAGAAGGAACGGGACGGACCCAGCGGGGAAGCACGCAGCAGCTTGGAGCGCGAGCGCACGCACCGCGAGAGCGAGCAAGCGAGCGAGAGCGCGTCGAGCACGAGCAGCCGGGAGCATACTGGAAACGCTTGGAGCGGTTTGGGAAGCACGCAGCTTGGAGCGATCGGGCAGCGAGCGCGTGGAGTACCAGCAGCGAGCGCGGATTGTCGGCCCGCCCGGCCCCAGCATCGGCCAGCCGCTGCCAGCTCACGGCCGCCGCCCGCCAGGGAGGCGGAGGCGCGGCGTCAGGAGCGGGAGCGCAGGCTGCGCGCCCAGCAGCGGCTCGCGGCGTTGCGGGAGGACCCCGCCTCCTCCTCCTCCTCCTCCTCCTCCTCCTCCTCCTCCTCCTCCTCCTCCTCCTCCTCCTCTCCCCCTCTCCCCCTCCTCCTCCTCCTCCTCCTCCTCCTCCTCCTCCTCCCCTCCTCCTCCTCCTCCTCCTCCTCCTCCTCCTCCTCCTCCTCCTCCTCCTCCTCCTCCTCTCCTCCTCCTCCTCCTCCTCCTCCCCCTCCTCCTCCTCCTACTCTTCCTCCTCTTCTTCCTCCTCAGTGAAATCATGACTATACCATGGGGTCGAGGGGCCCGAAGGGGTTGCTCTTCACCGCCTTCAATGACGACGTGTAGGTGCTCGCGACCCTGGTCGACAAAATTAATTTGGAGATGGACTACGACGCTCTGGCGCGCCATGGGGTCGACCGCGCCAAGGCGGAAGGCGGACACCTTCGTAGCCCCATTGGGGCCATATTTTCCTTACTTGTCACGTGTAGTTGGCGCAGCCCCAAAAACAGGGGAAAGGAAGAGGGAGGGGACAGCGAGGAGAGAGAAGGATGGAGCACGAGAGAGAGTAGCACGAGGGGCGTTAGAAGCAGTAAGACAAGCGGCAGAACCAGACGGGCGAGTCAGGAGTCCTCTTGGGCCGTCTTGAGGTGACGGCAGCCCGAAATGGCGAGAATGCGAAATTCATGATTTAAAGGAACAGGGGGGATGAATGACATCGATTTCTCTGGACCCTGTTGGAGGCCCTCTTGTGGCCATGTTGGGCCATCTTGGAAGCATCTTGGGCCATCTTGAATCAATATTCGGCCGCCTTGGGGCCATCTTGGGCCGTCTTCAAAGCATATTGGGCCATCTTGGTGTCTTTGGTCGCCTGCAGGGGCCGTCTTGGAAGCTGAGGACAAGGGACGCCAAGATGGCCTCAAGAAGCCCCAGGAGAGCCCCCCGGGGTCCAAGTGCGGGCACGTGGTCCTCGAGAGGGAGCCCCCGGGCTTCCAGGCTGGTTGCGGCTGGCTGCACACCGCAGACCCTGGATCTGCTGATTTGAACCTGAGCGCGGGCGGAGACGACCGCCGATGTGGGTGCGCTGCGCGTTATGAGCTGCCCTGGCGTCTACCTGCACACATGGCTGGCAGTGCCATCGAGGATGCCCACACAACGCGCTTGTCTGACCGCCCAGAAAATACTTGTTCCGGCGCCTGTTGGCAGGGGTGGACCTGGACACGCGTGCCCGCCCGGCAGGACATGCATTCCAACGAGGAGGCGATTGCGCTGGCGGAGGAGCAGGCGCGTTGCCTTCTACCACCCACCGTGTGGCTGGGCCTAAAATCTCCGCCTCTGGCTCGCAAGCAGTCGTAAATTTGCGGAAGTTTTGCAGCGGCCGTGGCAGCCTTTTCGGTCAGCAGCTTGAGCGACCGGCCATTCGCTCTCCAGGCAGATGGATCGGACGTTCGGGGCGCGATCGACGGGAAAGGGGGGTGCCACCAGGAATGTCCAACGGCGGCGAGATGTGTCGATTGTTTCGATTTCCGTAAGGTTGGGACCCTTGCCATCAGGTGGCTTGCCGAGAGCTCTCCGAGGTCGCCAGTATTGTCCTTGAGCGTTCCCGGGAGGCCCGATTTATAGCTGACAAGCACATGAACCATGCCAGTTGTACGAGACATCAAGTTTTACCAGGCCCATCTTGCTCTTACACCAGCCGCACGACCGGCGCCCCATACCTCGCGCTCTGGCGACTGCCACCGTGGGCGGCTGACCCGGCGAATTGAATCCACAAGTAGCAGCGGTTTCCATTTCTGGGGGCAGCTTCTCAAAAGCCCTCTTATCTCAGGGGCCCCGCTCCCGAGGTGCATCTGAGAGCACCTCTTCAGACCCCCATGGGGCGGTGGGCACTTATGCTGAGACCGCGTCTCGGCGGCAACAGCGGGGGAGCTCGAGCTTCACACTGGCCCGCGTCTCCAAGAAGGAAGGCAGCGGAGAGTAGCGCAGCAGCAAGGACGGAGCACTTGCGAACCACCCGCACTGCATCGAAGGAGAGAGAGAGAGAGAGCCCCATGCGCCGCTTCAGCCTCGTTCGGCTTCAAATTCCTCTCCCACCCTTTCGCGTTGATCCCCCGTTTATGGTTTGTGATGTTTGGACGCGGCGAGCCTGGAAAGGAAGTCACGGGCTCTCTCAGAAAGGTCGGAAAGCTTCAGGCCTTCTGAGACGTCGTCTAAGCCTTCTCAGAAGGCAGGGACGGCTCCTCAGAAGGCGTGAGGGCATCTGAGAGGCCCCGCCGCCTTCTGAGAAGGCCTGCCCCCTCTCACTTCCCCCCTGGGCTCGCTGCCTCGCTTGGACGCCTGAGCCAGAAACACCGCCCCCCAACAGCAGCTGGCACTGGCTTGTTGGCCGCCGGCCTGCCCCTCGGAGAATCGAGCCCCCGCGAGGTCGCGACGGGCACCTGCCGCTCACCCGTGGCCGCCCGCCCGCCGAGCGCGGGGCTTATCCGTGCGCTTGTGCCCCTCGGTCGTGCGCAGGGTTTGACGGGCTCCGCGCGGAGCGATTCGGATTCCGGACCGAGGAGCTTCAGGAGGGGAAAAAACACACAGACACAATTAATCTGCGATTCCCAGAAAATATGGGAAAATATGGGAAATGGGGGGGAAGACAAAAACCCAGAAAATATGGGGAATAATTTTATGTGTGTGTATGTATTTGTGTGTCCCAGTTTCCCTTCAGAGTTGCTTGCCGCCGCGCTGCGAACCGAAGAGTTGATCGCAGACCAGGCGCTGCAGAAGAACGACTGGCAAGGGCCACGTGATCTCTCACGGCCAAGAATGCTTCCTCAGTTCGTACGCTCATGGGAGACTCTGGGGATGTGTGGAGCAGTCGCCATGACGTGCAAGTGAAATTCTTTACGCTTCGCGTATCCCCACCAGCCCATCTCACAGCAGCAACTCTCGCGAAGCATGCCGACAGTCGTGTTTTTCAGGCGTGTGTCCGCTTCGACCCGCATATCTCCCCTGTTCCTCTTTCCTCCCGCCTCCTTGTACATCCTCCTTGTGGGGGGAGCGGGAGAAGGACGAGGCGAAGGAGGAGGGAGAGAAAGCGCTCCTCGTGGTTTGAGTCGTTTGGGGTTTCTCGTCCTGGTCTGAGTCGTTCGGGCCCTTCTTCCTGGTGTGAGTCGTTCGGGCTCTTCGTGGTGTGAGTCGTTCGGGCTCTTCGTCCTGGTGTGAGTCGTTCGGGCTTCTCGTGGTGTGAGTTGTTCGGGCCCCTCGTCCTGGTGTGAGTCGTTCGGGCCCCTCCTCCTGGTGTGACTCGTTCGGGCTCCTCGTGGTGTGAGTCGTTCGGGGCCTTCGTCGTGGTGTGAGTCGTTTGGGCTCCTCGTGGTGTGAGTCGTTCGGGCGCCTCGTCCTGGTGTGAGTCGTTCGGGCCCCTCTTTCTGGTGTGAGTCGTTCGGGCTCTTCGTGGTGTGAGTCGTTCGGGCCCCTCGTCCTGGTGTGAGTCGTTCGGACTCCTCGTGGCGTGAGGCGTTCGGACACCTCGTCCCCTTTTGGGGCATCTTGGGGGCGTCTTGGCGGCCCCAGGGGCTTCTAGGAGCGTCTTGGGTGCCTTGGGGGAGCCTCTTCGGGCCTCTTGGGAGCCTCTTGGAGGCCGTTTGGGGCGTCTTGGGGGCCTCTTGGCGGCCCCAGGGGCTTCCAGGAACGTTTTGGGTGCCTCGGGGGAGCCTCTTGGAGCCTCTTGGGGGCCTCTTGGGGGCATCTTGGGGACCTCTTGGAGGCCTCTTGGGGGCCTCCTGGGGGCCTCTTGGGGCCATCATGGGGCCTCTTGGTGCCTCCTGGGCGCTTCCTGGGGTCATCTTGGAGGAGATCGATCAAAGAAGAGGGGAGCTTTAATGAGCGCTGCCCCCTCACGCCCAAAGGGCGGTTGAGAACAGAGAGAGCTCTCTGAACCACTCACGCCCAAAGGGCTGGTGGGAATTGTAGCTCTCCCAGGGATAGACAAAGGACCCTCTGACGATCCGCGGAAGGCTCCCTCCAGGCCCAGGGGGAGGGGGTAGGGTGAGGGGTAAACCCCTCGCCGAAGGGGAAGAAGGGGGGTTGAGAACAGAGCGGACTCCCTAAACCACTCACGCCCAAAGGGCTGGTGGGATTTCGTTTTTCGGGGTTTCAGTGCGCACTTGTCCTGTGGAGCTCCAGTGTCACAGAAGATGCCTCTGTAGCTTCCTCGTCGTCGAGACGCTTCGATGCCTCTGTAGTTTCCTCGTAGTCTCCTTTCCATGCCTCTGTAGCTTCCAGGCACTCCTGCGTCGCCGAGTTTCTTCTGGCAGCGTCCTTGTCTTGTCGCGGGGTGCGTTTGCGTCACTTCGGCGTTGCTGCGCCATGAGACGTGTCTGCGCAGCTTCGTCGTCTCATCGGGGACTCCAGCGTCACCGAATTTGTTCCTGCATTGTCCTTGTCGTTCCAGGTCGTGCGTACGCGCGCAGAATGTTTCTCTGCAGCGTCCTCGTCGCATCAGGATCTCCAGCGTCACATAGTCTATCCTTGTAGCGCCTCTTCTTCCAGGGCGGCGTGGTCCTGATTCGCCGCGGACGACTCGCCGCAGACGGTTCCATTCGATTCCACGGACGATCGTGCGCATGTAGCTTGCCACGCGCCTGCGCGCGCGCGGAGAGGGCCTGGGCGCCCTGTCGCCTGCGGGCGACCGCGCGGGTTAGCCCCCGCAAAAGCCAAAAAGGGCATGTCCACACGCCGGGTAAAGCCTAAAAGGGCTTTCGTCTGCCTGATCCTTCCCTCCCGCTTTCCTCCTTCTTCTTTCATCGAAGTCAGAACCCCCGCCCCCTATGACGTCCCCCGTTGGCCTGGGTGGTCTACTCAGGTCGCGGGGGGGGTAAGGGGGGGGGTCGTTGCCACGGCCGGTGCCTCGTTTTCATGACGGGGAGGGGGGGGTGCACCGTTCCCTCGGATGGGCACACCCCCCCCCTCCAAGGGCCTCGGAGCCCTCCCTCTCCGTCCTTTTCTTCTCCCTTATCCTCCCCCCCCCTCGCGGTTTTCGAAGCCTTTGGCGTCTCCGCCCACCACCCTTGGGAGTATCCTAATGGCCTCCGGCCCACTCCGCCACCGTGTTGTGCCGGTGGACAAGAGGCGCATGGGGTACACGAGATGGTTAAAGGGGGGGCCAGTGGCTTCAATCGGGCGTCTTGGAGCGCACGCGCGTAGTTGGGTTCTGCAGGGTTTCCGTGGGGGTTGTCTTTTTGTCAGTGTACACAAAGTGGGCAATGCTGTCGAATTTGAGACGTATAGTTCTCTTTTTTTGTATATGTCTGGGTCCCGAACGAGTCACACCAGGACGAGGGGCCCGAACGACTCACACCACGAGGGGCCCGAACGACTCACACACAAGGAGGGGCCCGAACGACTCACACCAGGACGAGGGGCCCGAACGACTCACACCACGAGGAGCCCGAACGACTCACACACAAGGAGGAGCCCGAACGACTCACACCAGGACGAGGGCCCCGAACGACTCACACCACGAGGAGCCCGAACGACTCACACCAAGGAGGGGCCCGACGGACTCACACCAGGACGAGGGGCCCGAACGACTCACACCACGAGGAGCCCGAACGACTCACACACAAGGAGGGGCCCGAACGACTCACACCAGGACGAGGGGCCCGAACGACTCACACCACGAGGAACGACTGGAGGGGCCCGAACGACTCACACCAGGACGAGGGCCCGAACGACTCACACCACCCCGAACACTCACACCACGCCCGAACGACTCACACACAGGAGGAGCCCGAACGACTCACACCAGAGGGGCCCGAACGACTCACACCACCCCGAACGACTCACACCACGAGGAGCCCGAACGAGGGAGGGGCCCGAACGACTCACACCAGGACGAGGGGCCCGAACGACTCACACCACGAGAAGCCCGAACGACTCACACACAGAGAACGACTCACACCAGGACGAGGGGCCCGAACGACTCACACCACGAGGAGCCCGAACGACTCACACTCAAGGAGGGGACCGAACGACTCACATCAGGACGAGGGGCCCGAACGACTCACACCACGAGGAGCCCGAACGACTCGCACACAAGGAGGGGCCCGAACGACTCACACCAGGACGAGGGGCCCGAACGAATCACACCACGAGGAGCCCGAACGACTCACACACAAGGAGGGGCCCGACCGAATCACACCAGGACGAGGGGCCCGAACGACTCACACCTCGAGGAGCCCGAAAGTGCGACACACAAGGAGGGGCACGAACGACTCACACCAGGACGAGGG